CCCACCCCACCCACCCACCCCACCCCGTTCCCGCTCCCCCGCAGATCATCAACAGCATCCTCACCTCCGCGCTGCCCCAGAACCCGGAGCTGGTCTACACGCTGCTGCACCGGCAGGAGGTGTTTGCGCCCTTTGGCGCCCACCCGCGGTACGCGGAGCTGATGGAAAACATCCGGCGCGTCACCGACTACTTCAACCGCAAGGTGGAGGAAAGCGTGGCGGCCAGCGCGGAGCAGCAGCTGAGCGTGGAGCGGTGAGGGGCGGGGCGGGAGGGGGCGGGGCACTGCTGCGGCGGGCTGCACACGGCGCGTCTGGGGCGCCGCGTGCTGGTCCATGCCGAGCCGCTGCCTGCCTGCTGTCCCCTGTGTCGCAATGCTCCTCCCCTGTGTCGCAATGCTACCACCTGGCCAATCCCAGGCTCCCCTCCCCCACCCCCCACCCACCCACAAGCACCCACCACCTGTGCCCGCAGCCTGCTGGACCTCATCAAGCTGCACAGCCGGGGCTGGCGCAAGGACAAGCTGAAGCCCTTCCCTGACCTGCGCTTCACGTATGAGGAAGGTGGGTGTGCGGCCGGGCACCACCTACGGGGTGCCTGGTGCGGCGCCACCACCCCTGCCTGCTGTCCTGCTAGCCCTCTGCCGCCGCCGCCGCCGTCGCCGCCTCGCCGCAGCCCTTCAATCCCACCCCCGCATCCCTATGTGCCCTGCCGTCCTGTCACCCTGCCTGCCTGCCTGCCAGAGGCGAGCCCCGAGGAGTTCTTTGTGCCCTACGTGTGGAGCCTTGTGGTGGCCATGGGCGGCATCCCATTCACCCTCACCGCCATCACCCTGTTCACCCCCACCGGTGTGCAAGCAGGCTCAGCATTTATGAGCCCTTCCTCAGTGGGGCGCCTGTGGGTGCCAGTTTGGGGGCAGCCCAGGCCGGTGCGCAGCACATGGAGAGGGCGAAGAAGTGCTGAGTTGCTGCCGCCGTGTCCGCTGCCTGCCTGCAGTGGTGCCGGCACCAGAGGCGGAGGACCCCTCGCCAGCCCCCAGCCCCCATGTGAGAGCGCCCGACTGCGCGGCGCATGTGCCATCTGCAGGCACTTGTTGACGGCAGTGCCCTGGTTGGCAATGTCTGCGCATGTGCATGCCAGCCGCCAGCCAGCTCTGTGCCAGGCATCCCGCCACACGCTGGCTCCGACCTCCAGGCGTGTGCTCACTGGCATGCTTGCTGCTTCCCACATGGCCGCCGCAGATGAGGAGCGAGGCGGACGGCCCGCACCTGCCCAGCACGGGCCGCGGCGGCGGCGGTGAGCCGCCCAGCGCGGCTGGCGCTGTGTAGGAAGATGGTATGCTTGGAATGAATGGGCATGCTGCCGGTTTGGGGACGGCATGTAACATGGCGGCCTGTGCCGCATGCTTTTACACGCATTGGGCTTGCGACGACTGGGCCAGCGCACTATGGCATGCGGCAGGACAATGGGCACACAGCAGAGGGGCGCGAGAGTACGGCAGGGCAGGCGGCCCAAATGCAGGCTGGGATGAAAGGGAAATGAGTGGAAGGGAGTACCTGGAAGGAACCGAAACAGAACAAGCAAACAAAGGGACCGAAACGACGCCTGGCTGGCCTAGGCAGGCGCGGCCTGCTTGAAGGCCTCTATGGGGGCCCTGCACAGCGGGCACAGCGGGCTCTGCAGCGGCAGGCCGAAGCTGCTGTTGGTGCTGCTGTAGGAGGCGAGGCGGCCGCAGCACGCCATGCACGCTGCGTGCCCGCATGGCGCCAGCGAGATGTCGGCTGGCAGGTCGAGGCACACGGGGCACACTTGCGCCTCCGCCTCGCTGCCAGCCGCCGCAGCAGCCGCAGCCGCACCCAGCTGCCCGGCAGCGCACCCCGGCTTCCGCCCATCCTCCTCGCCGCTGCTGCTGGCGTCGCTGCCGCTGCTGCCAGACCCGCCGCTGCTGGCGCTGGGCTGGCCTGCGCCCTGCTGCTGCTGCTGCCGCTCAGGGTGCTGCTGCCGAGGCCGCTCCTCGCCCTCATCCCCAAGAAGGGCCCCCGCCAGCATCGCAGCCCCCTCCTGCGCAGCCCGCGGCGCTGCCTCCCCAGCCGCCGCCGCCTCCCCGTCCCTGCTCAAGGCTGCCAGGGGGGCGTGCCGCTCTTGGCGGCGGTGCAGCCTGCAGAGAAAGCGAATCCAGTGGGTCAGGCCAGGTTCAGCAGGCAGCCCTGGCCTCTTCAGCCAGCCAGTGGGCTGCAGAAGTTCTCAGGAACGCAGACGCCTTCGAACATGCCGGGCAGAGCGGTCGGGCTTGCCTACGGTAGAGCGAGCTGGAGTGCTCGGCGTGCCACAGCGTGCGATTGCGGTCCAGCAGCGTCCAGTCCGCCCCCGCCTGCGCTGACGCCAGCTGCCGCGCCACGCGCTCCCGCTCCTGCTGCAGCCGGCGCTGCCGCCTCCGGCTGCGCTGGCCGCCGCGCTGCTCGCCGGCGCCGGCGCCGCCACCACCGCCGGCGCCAGCAGCTGCGTGTGCGGCGGCGTGTGCGGCGGTCGCGTTTTCGAGCAGCTCATCCACCGCTGCCAGCACCTGGCTGGCCGTGGCGCTGTCAGAGTGAAGCAGCGACTCCAGGCGCTGCACGGTGCCCGGCGGCAGCGGCGGCTCCGCCGCCGCCGCCGACCCCAGCCCCAGCTGGCGCAGCTGCGACAGCAGCGCGGCGCGGTGCACCAGCACCAGCAGCTGCTGGCGCAGCAGGGGCGGGAGCTGGCGGGAGCGTGCGGCGGGCGGGGCCGCGGGCAGCGGCGCTCCCGCCGCCAGCAGCGACGCCATGTTGCTGAAGCCGCAGAGCAGGGCGACGTTGAGGGGGGTCATCCCGCGGGCGTTGCGCATTCTGCAGGGGCGCGGGCGGGTGGCGGGGTGAGGCCCGGAGGCGGGGGCAGCCGATGGGCTGGCTGGGGGGAGCGCACAATGGCACCACGAGGGGTAGCCGTGGGTCGGTCGTACCAGCAACAGCCTGCCTGCCTGCCTGCCTGCCTGCCTGCCTGCCTGCTGTCCTTCCTAGCCCTCCACAACAAACACACACACACACATACGCACAGAGCATGAGCAGCACACACAACCACAAACAACCACACACACAGCAGGCAGCCACCCACCCACCCACCTGCGCAGCTCCAGTCCCGGGTGGCGCTGCTGCTGGGCGTGCAGCAGGGTGGTGACCAGCGAGGCGCGCCCCGTGGCCGCCGCCATGTGCAGCGCGGTGCTGCCGGGAGCCAGGCAGGGCGGCAGCAGCATGGGGGTGCGCAGGCCCACAGGCAACAGTGGCGTGTCAGCTGGGCGCCCGCCGTCACCAGCTCCACCACTGCAGGCGGGGCAGGGAGGGGCGGGAAAGAAGGCGGGGTGGGGCGGCGCAGCACGGCCTCGCTGGCTGGCGGTGGCAGCCGCCTGGCTGTGGCCTGGCTGGCAGGCAGCCGCGCGACAGCGCCGCTCCCCCACCAGACGCAGCGTGCGGCGCAGCATGTGCGAGCGCCGCCGCCGAGGCTGCCTGCCCAGCCCGCCAGCCCAGCCCGGCGCCGCGCGCCCACCTGCGGACTGCGAGCCCGACAACACGGCCAGGTGCAGGGCGCAGAGGCCGGAGTGGGCGCGGGTGTCTAGGTAGCGCTCGGTATCGATGACATCAGGCACGAGCGCGTCGGCGGTGCGGCCGCGGCTGCCGTCTGCGGGCCGGGGCAGCGGCAGCACGCGGAGAGGCCGGCGCGGTGTGAGCATAGAAAACTTCTTAAATATAGGGGCTGGCGTGGCGCTAGGGCCCCGTGCCGGGGGGCACAGTTGGGCAACGAGCGTGAGGCGCGGCCGCGGCAGCCGAGGCAGGCGGCAGTAGGGGCAGCCGCGTTGCGAGGCTGTGTAGCCGACCAGCGGGCCGCGCACCTGGCAGGCGCACGTAGGACGACAGCAGCAGGCGGAGGCAGGCGGCGTGGCCCCGCAGCGCGGCGTAGTGCAGCGGCGTGGTGCCCTGCGCGTTGGCGGGGAGCGGCAAGGCGCCCGCCTCCAGCAGCTCCCGCAGGCAGTCGGCGTGGCCGTGCTTGCAGGCCAGCGCCAGCGCCGTGTCCCCGGCGTGGTCTGGCGCGTTGAGGAAGCCCGACAGCGACTCGCCGGCGGCTGTGGTGGTGCGGTGGGCCGCAACCTCAATCACCGCCGCCAGCGCCTCGGCGCAGCCGGCCCGCGCCGCGCAGTGCAGCGCCGTGCGCGCCTTCCAGAATGAGTGCCGCAGCAGCGCCTCCTGGCCGCCCCTCGACGACACGATCTGCACAGGTGCGAGGCGGGGGAACCGGTTTTGAGGTCTGATTTGGCAGGAGGCGGCAGCGTGGCGCCCGCGGGCGGCAGCGGCGGCAGCGCGAGCGGGCGGCTGCAGCGCGCCACTGGCAGCGCAGCGTGCACCGGTCACGAGACCGGCTGGGGGTGCGCAGGGTGGGGGCTGAGAGCGCGTTTCGGATGCCATAGATCGTGCGAGGGTCGGCAGGCTGCCGTGGCGCTGGCAGAGGGCCCTGGCGAGCCACACGAGAAGCAATTGCAGGGCCCTGCAGCGCATACCTGCGTCAGGCGGGGGACGTCATTCGCCGCTGCGGCATTCCGGGCCTGTTTGGCTTGCGCGTTTCCCATGTCGCACTGCAGTGCGTGAATAATGTGTTGCGTGGCTGCCAGGCCCGCTAGTTGGCTGCGCCGAGTGCCAGCAGGGAGGCGCAATGGGCACCCTGAAACTCGACCCACCTCCCCGCACCCTGCGGATTCCAATCCCGGCTGAACCCCGGTCTGCCACAATTCGGGAGGGCGTCCAAGGCCCGCCTCCTCGAACGCCTTCCGCTCGCCCTCCTTGTAAAAAATACGAATCAGGCGGCCGCCGTTCGGCACCATGGTGCACCAGGAGGCGGCAGGCGGGCAGCAGGAGCGTCGCCTCCTGGACCTGGCGGCACTCAAGCTAGAGCAGGAGCTTTCAGAGGCGGTGAGAGCCTGTGCAGCAGAGCCCCAGTGCCGAGCCTTGTGATCTGACGCCGCCGCGGCCTGCCCCGCAAGCTTTTCTCCCACCTGCCGCCGCTGCCGCCAACTGCCCACCCAGCGCCCGCTGCCCGGTGCGCTCTCAAGTGCCTGCCTCCTGGACGCACCGACCCTTGCCCTGCCCCCATGCAGTACACCACGCCGCGCAACTATGGCTGGCTGGGCGAGCACCAGGACGAGGCCGCGGAGCTGGCGGCGTTGCTGCACGAGGCGGCGCCCAAGCTGGCGCTGGCCAGCCTGCGCGCGCCGGTGGCGGGTGCTCGCCCCCTGCCCAAGGCCCGATCCTACGAGGTCTCTGACACGATCAAGGACCGCTTGCGCGCCGCGGAGCCCATGCCCACAGGTGGGTGCACGGCGACGGCGGGGGTGGCGGCGGAATGGCCGCCCCGCTGCTCGCCCTGCCGCGCCGCCGCTGCCGGCGGCCGTTGAAATTGCAACCTGGTTTGCTGCCGCCGCTGCCCTCCCGGTGCCGCAGGCCCCGGCCAGGTGCCCTGGTCCCGCCTCTGCGCCTCCATCTCCAGCGAGCTGCTCAAGTTTGACGAGGGCGCGGATGCGGCGGCGGCGGCGGCGCGGGCGGCGGCGCGCAGCCCCGCCGCGCCGCTGGCAGATGTGCTTGAGATCAACTCGGGTGGGTGAGGGCCTGTGTGTGTGTGTGTGTGTGCGTTTAGAGGCGTGGTACAGGCGAGGTATGCTGTGTCCCGCTGTGCCTTCCAGCTGTGTTGACCCTTATGAGAGTTTGAGAGTGGAGGCGAGCAGGCACCTCCCAGGTTGCAGCTGCTGCCTGGCTCCCGCCAGCCTCCACCCGGCCCCTCCTCCCTGCTCTGCCACGCCATGACGGCGCCCCCTGTCGCCCCGCCCCCCTCGCCGCTGCGCAGGCGGCCGCGTCTTCTTCTGCCTCTTTGACGCCGCCTCCCCCGCCCCCACGCCGCCCTCCTCGCTGCGAAACTCGCCGGAGCGCGACCTGGAGCGATACATGGGGCGGGCGGCTGCCAGCGCCAACGGCGGCGCCCAGGGGCAGGGCCAGGGTGATCCAGCGGGGCAGGAGGATGGGGAGGACATCTGGCGGCAGCTGGCCCGGGAGCCGCCCCTGCTGGCACGCGGCGGCTGCGGCGGCGGCAGCCCCTACCTGCCCGCCGACGGCTTGCTGGTTGTGGAGGAGGGGGCGGAGGAGGGGCCCCGCAGCCGCGGCGGCGACGACGGCTACGCCGCCGCCGCCGAGCGCCAGCTGCAGGAGCTGCAGGCGGCGGCGGTGGCGGGGCAGGCGGCCGTGCCCGACAGCAGCAGCAGCGGCAGCAGCAGCCCCGCCTCCAGCGGCAGCGAGGCGGGAGGCAACCAGTTCAGCGGCATCTTAGAGCGATCCAAGGCCAGCTTCACGTTTGCCACAGCCGTCGGCAGCGGCCCGGCGGCAGACGCAGCAGCAGCAGCAGCGGCCGCAGCAGCAGCCGCGGGCGGGGGCGAGGTGCCGCCGACGCCGCGGCGGCTGCGCCGCTCGGGCACCGGCGGGCTGCAGCAGTCGTGCCTGGTGCTCAAGTTTGTGTCCTCCCGCCTGCTGTGCCAGAGCGAGCAGTTTGCGTCGGAGCTCACGAGGCACGTCGGGCTGTGCGCCCCAGACAGCCGCATCCTGAGATCAAAGGTGCTTTATTGGGGGGGGAGGAGGGGGGGTAGCATGCATGTGCATTGTGTGCTTGCACGTTGTGTGTGTTGTGCATGTCGTGTGCTTGTGTGTTGTGTGTGCGTTGTGGGTGTGCGTGTGTGCATGATTGGGGGAGGAGCGGGCTGTGCGCAGGGCGCTGGCCAAGGGCTGCCAGCCCACCCCCCGCCCGGCCCGGCCTGCAGGGCACGACGGAAGCCGAGTGGCAGGAGGCGTTTGCGGCGGCGGCCGCGCTGCGCGACCGCTTCCCCGACCTTCATGAGGAAATGGGGCGCAACAGGTGCGGCGTGTGTGCAGGGATGGAGTGGGCAGGGCAGCTGGCTTGCCTGGATGTTGGCAGGGCGGGCGCGGCCGAGAGGTGGGCGGGCGCGGCTCTCCAATCCGCAGCCTGACCCTCCCCTCCTCCCCTCCTCCTCTCCTCCTGCTCACCCTCTCCAACCGCACCTTGTTGCCCACCCTCCCTCCCTTCTGCAGCTGCTTCCTGGTCATGGAGTTTGTGCCCGGCTGCTGCCTGTTCAGGAGCGGGCAGGCGTTCCGCGGCAGCCACCTGGCGCAGACGGCGCAGGACCTGGGCCGCTTGTTCACGCTGGACATGCTGCTGGGCAACCCAGACCGCCTGCACTGCGACGAGCTGGCCTGGCGCGGCAACCCGGGTGCGCGACGCCGGGCGGGCAGGGCGGGCGTCGAGGTGGCAGCAGTGTTGGCGCGTCTGCTGCCGTGACTGCTGGCGTGTGCGTGTGTGTGGTGTGGTGTGGTGTGTGTCTGTGTGTGTGTGGTGTATGTGTGTGTATGTGTAGGTATGGGTGGGTGGTCGTCACCGCCTTCGCCTGCCCGCCCCGCCCTCCTGCTGCAGAGAACATCCTGTATGCGTCGGCGGGGCGGTGGGCGGGGCGCGCGGTGGCCATCGATGCGGTGGTGCAGCGGCGGCCGCCGGGGGGGCTCATGTCTGTTGAGGTGCGGCGGTGGGGGCGGCAGGGAAGCAGGGCGGCACACGAGAGCACCTCACCCGCCCCTGCACCCCTCCCCTGTGCTCTGAACCACCTCACCTGTTATCTGCATCGCGTGTGCTCGCGGTTGGTCGCCTGTGTACCTCGCCTCTGGTACCACCTCACACGCTGTGCCCGCCACGCCCTGCCACACAACCGTCCGCAGGACCGATCCTGCGAGCGCCTGACGGAGCTGGCTCTGAACGACGCGGGCGTGGCGGGCTGCCTGCTCCGCCAGGCCATGCAGCCCGCAGAGGGCAGCGCTGAGCTGGCGGGCTTGCCGGAGACGGCGGCCGCGTTCCAGCAGGTGTGTTGAGGCGGCAGTGGGAGGGTGGCAGGCAGGGAAGAGCGTCGGGCCGCGCCAACGCCTGTGGATGCTCTGCCTCGCCGCTCTCTTTGCTGGCTGGGAAGCAGGCGGCCTGGCCTGGCTGGCAAGCCTCCCCTCCAGCCAGCCGCAGCGCTGCCCTTGCCTGCCTGCCTTTCTCCTCTCCAAACTCCTGAGAGAAAGAGAGAGAGCAACAACCGTGTGTTTGCGACATGCGCAGGGCCTGAAGGCGGCGCTTGATGCGGCAGTGAGCATCAAGGGGCTGCTGGAGATGATGTTTGAGGTGGTGACCGAGTGGATGGAGGGCTTCATCCAGGACATCGAGGCGGCGGAGGGAGGCCCGGGCAGCAGCGCTGCGGGCGGCGCGGGCCAGCACGCGCACACGCCGCGTGCCGCGCCGACCTCGCGCCGCGCGTCGTCGGCAGGCAAGGCGGCGGCGGGCGGGGAGGGCGCCGTGGGCTGCGTGGTCCAGGATTCGGCTGTTGCGAGAAAGGAGCCGAGGGGCTTGCCACACAAGCCACACGCAACTGGCCTTTGGTGGAGCCCACCACCCAGCCTGTACAGCCTCTCAGCCTGCGGCCCCCTGCTCCTGCCGCGCCGCCCTGCAGGCGCCGCCGCCTCCCCGCTGCTGCAGACCACCGCCCAGACGATGCGCATTCGCCAGATAAACCACGAGGCGCAGCACAACGACAGCGTGGGGGAGAAGGTGGCGCACTGGAAGGGCGTGTTCAGGGAGAAGGGTGGGTGGGGGTGGGCGGTGGGCCCGCGTGCACCCGTGCTTGCTTGCGTGCCGTGTCATGTGTCACTGTCGTGGCGTCGCGTGTTTGCTTGCTGTGTCGCATGATTGCGGTCACGATAGGGGCTTGCCCTGAGCCCCTTCCTCGCAACGCGGCGCAGGCGAGGAGCTGCGGGCGGCGGTGGAGGAGTGGCAGCAGAAGCGCGGCACGCCGGCGGGCGGCCAGCGCCTCACCACCGCCTTCCTGGACGGCACGCACCCAATCGTGGATGTGTATGAGCTCAAGGTTTGCCGGCCCTCTCTACTCTGGCCCTTTCTAGTATTCGGCACTGCGCCGCTGCTTGTGCGGCGCCTTGTGTGATCCCAGCGCCTTGTGTGGTGATTGTGAGGTGGCCGGAGCGGGGTTGCGTGGCACCTGGCATCCCGTCCTTATCCCATCCCGCGCCATCGCCTCTGCCCGCAGGTGCGGCTGGAGCACATGCTGCAGCGGCTGCGGGTGCTGCAGCAGGCCACGCTGACGGGGCGGCCGTGCCGCCTCATGCCCCGCCTGTACCTGTCGGGCGCTGTGGAGGCCAGCAGCCACCACCTGCTCAAGCACCTGGGCATCACGCATGTGCTGAATGCCACTGAGGTGAGGTGGGGTGGGTGGGGTGGAGAGGTGCGGCAAGATGGCCGGCGTGGACAATTAGCGAGCGTTGCTTAGGCTGGGGCTGATATGCTCGCGCCTCCGTTGCTCGGGTGCGTGCCGTGCGCCTGCCAATGACATTCGCCGCCTGCCGCCACGCGTGCCGCCTGCCCCCCAGCAGGACCTGCTGCTTCCCGAGGAGGTGCACGGGTTTGTGACGCTGCGCTGCCCGCTGGCCGACTTGGAGGAGGAGGAGCTAGGCCCTTTCCTGCCCGGTGGGTGGGCCTGGCATGGCATACGGGTTGGCCTGGTGCTGGCAGAGCACAGCAGAGCAGCAGGGTGGAGCTTCGCTGCTCGCCAGAGAAGCCTGCCCCTCCGATGGCGGCCGGCCGTGTGCCGCATTTTGCCAGTACCGCAGCCGCAGCCTGACCGCAGCCTGACCGCAGCCTGACCCGCCGCCCCGCTTGCCTCCCTAACCCCCACCTCCGCGCCCTCTACCCGCGCAGACGCCGCCGCTTTCATTGACGAGGGGCTGGCCAAGGGCGGCGGCGTGCTGGTGCACTGCCACGCGGGCAAGAGCCGCAGCGTGAGTCTGGTGCTGGCCTGGCTGATGACGCGCCGCCGCTGGCCGCTCAACCGCGCGCTCGACTTCCTGCGCCGCATGCGCCCTGAGGCGGAGCCCAACGCCGGCTACCTGGCCGCGCTGCTGCGGCTGGAAGAGGAGCTGTTTGGCAGGCAGACGGTCAAGGTGGGTGGTTGTGGTGGTGTGTGTCGGGGTGTGCCGGCGTGGGTGCGGGTGCAGTTGGGCTGGAGGGAGCTGGAGAGGCAGGTGCAGGGAGGGGACGGGCGTTTGGTGGGAGCGATTGTTTGGGGGCTGCCTCTTGCGTGCCGTGCTCTTGGCGGCGGTGCGCCCCTGCGTGCTGAGCGCCCCTGCCCGCCTGCTGACTGGGTTGGTCTTGCACGCGTGGCCCCCTCCTCGGCAGATGAAGAAGACCAAGCCCGAGCCGCGCGTGTGCCCCGAGTGCGGAGAGAGGGTGGGCCTCAGTGCTGACAGCGTGCGCGTGCACCTGCGCTTCAAGCACCCGGGCTCTGCGCTGGCCAGGTGGGCGGCAGCTGTGTGTGCTCGCGGGTGGATGGGTGGGCGCACAGCAAGCGGGCGGCCCCACGCTGGGGGCATGCTGCCGTGCCGTGCTGCGCGTTGCTGGTTGCCAGTGCCCGGCTGTGCGGCTGCCTGCCCATGCCAGCTTTGCCGGCTCCCCAGGACCGCCACCCACCCGGGAACCCAGCTGCCTCCGCTTCCTGCGCAGGTCCATCCAAGGCGACAGCCAGGACAGCCTGAGCGTCGGCGCCGGCGGCAGCGGCAGCTGGGCCGACCTGCGCAGCCCCAGGAGCCCCAAGAGCCCTCCCGGCGCCGCAGGCCTGCCCCCCGCCTCCTCCCCCGCCTCGGGCAGCGGCAGCGGCGGCGGCGGCGGCGGCGGCGTGCTGTCGCCTCGGGCCGCGCAGGGCGACGCAGCCACGCAGCGGCGGTGCCAGCCCCGCTCCCTCCACACGTCCGCCCCGCAGCCGCCCCCGCAGCAGCAGCAGCAGCAGTGGTCGGAGGAGGACGGGGATGCTGTGGAGCAGTTCTTGGCGCAGCAGCAGCAGCAACGGGTGCAGGGGCAGGTGCAGCAGCAGCAGCAGCACAGCTCTGCATCACCCACCCATGCGCCGCCGCATGCCGCCGTGCCGCTCAACCGCTGGCCTCTGCCGTCCTCTCTGGAGGCTCCCACGCTGGCGGCGCTGCTCACGGCGCCGGGGCAGGGCGGCGGGGGCTCGCGGCTGGCGGCGCTGGCGGGGGAGGCGGATGCCGGGGTGGATTCGCCCGTCTCCATGGCGGCGGCGCTGCGGGGCGAGCTGGGCAGCGTGTCGCTGTGTGCGGGGGATGCGGAGGAGGAGGAGGAGTTTCTGTCGGCGGCCACCACGCCGCACCAAATCATGGAGTCCACCCCGTGAGGCATATGTTCAGTTTCAGTCGAGAGACGCACCCGCCATTGAACACTGCCATTCGTCACTGCCATTCACCACCCGACAGCATTTGGAGCACCCTGCCCTGCTTGTTTTCTGTTCCCCTCACTGCCCCGGCTGCCAAATTTCGTTTTGAGAGGCGTGGAGGTGTCCCTGACCGACGATTTAAATGAGACCAGAGCAGGGGGAAGAGCAAATGAGTTTGTTGCGGCGCAGGGCGGCGGGCTGCCGCCACATGGCGGCTCCCCGCCAGCAGCGCAGTTGTGCCCGCGGCCCTCTTGGCGGGCGCTCCCCCACTTCGCTAGTAGTTCAAGCATATACCGACGACCACGGTCGAGCCTTTCTGAAGCAGGTGAGTGCCTCCGTCCAGAGGTATCGTTTGCACCGCGCCGAACCCTGTGCCGCTCGCGGGCGGAGGGTGCAGGGTGGCAGGGCCAAGACTGCAACGTGTTGTAGTGACAGTGTCTCAAGTGCTGTGGCCTGCCTGCAAGTGCTGGCCACATGTCCTGCGCATGCCGGCAGTTTGTTCGCGTTTCCTGCCTGCGGGGCCTCTGAGAGTGAACGGGAGGCGCATTTTACACTCACGAAAGGGAGAAGGGGGGTACCAGCGAGGCGGCTTTGTTGCTGCCGCCGCCGCCGCCCGCCCGCCTACTGCGCTCCTTTTGCCTTCACCTCGTGCAGAACACTCCTTCGAACCCAAAACCTGCCGAGCCGCACAACTACGAGCCGGCCTCACGATGCAGAGCCGCGCCCTGCTGCTGGGCATCTGCCTCTGCGCAGCCGCCGCACTCGCTGCCGCCCAAGATGACAGGTGCGGCAGGCCCCAAGCCGGGTGGATACCATACATCTAGTTGTTTTGGTGGCCAGGCCAGGGGCAGCCATCCCAGCCTGGCAGTAGGCAGGCCGCCGGGGTAGTGCGTGGCCTTTCCGGCAGGCAGGTGCAGCCCAAACAGCCCTCCCACTGACGTGCGCCTGCCTGTAGCAACTTTTGCGCCAGCGTGGCCCCCGAAAACCCCGGCAGCGCCTGGGAGTGGGTTTCGGACATGGATGAGGCTGGGGGCATGGTGTTCCCTGAGGAGGTGCTGAACGCTACCGTGGCGGTGAGCATGGGGGCATGGGGGCATGGGAGCATGCATGCGACGCCCGCTGGCCGAGCAGTGTGCATGCGCGCCGGGGCTGCCGGTTTGAACCCAGCCCACCACCACCACCACCACCACCGCAGCTATCGCTTGCCTGTGGGCACCCCGTTGAGGGCCGCCGCGCCTCTACCCGCGCCGCACCCGCCGCCTCTGGCCGGGGCCTGTGACGCCCATGCGCCGTACCGCCCCCATTCCTGCAGTACTTTGATGAAATGTACGTGCCCGGCATGGGACTGGAGGCCGACAAGCGTGACATCCGCGACCAGTGGGTGCCCTGGTGAGCCAGCCACCCAGCCAGCCAGCCAGCCTGCCTGCCTGCTCATCCCCACCGCGGGTTCCCGCTGCTGCCCGCCATGCACGCCCGGCTGTCCCCAGCGCCGCGAGTCATCCCACCCCCTGCCCCCTGCTGTGCACCACCCCCTCTCCTCGCAACAATGCAGCACCGAGGAGGACCGCAGCCTCACCGCCATGGGCTGCGTCACGGTGGGCCGCCCCGCCTTGTGTGCACACCGCTTGGCCCTGCATGCCCCGGCCCTGCATGCCCGCCTCGCCCGCCTGCCTGCGTGCATTCCTGCCCAGCCCGGGGTCGCACTTTCCCGCGCCTGACGCGGCCTGCCTGCCTCGCCTGCCTGCCTGTCCACAGGGGACTGAGTCTGGCGGCGAGGTGTACAACGTGCGCCTCATGATTCTGTGCGACCACATTGACCACAACGACACAGCCATCGTCACAGCCCTGGTCACCCTGCCCGCCAACGGCACCGAGGGCGTCCAGGCAAGCTGCTGCAGCGGCGGCGGGAGCGTGTGTGGATGCCGTGCAGTCGGCGGCGTGCCTCTCCGCCGCAGGCCTGCTCGACCTGCTGCCCCGCCTGCTGCCCCGCACCAGCAGGTGGAGCTGACTGATGTGGAGCTGGATGTGGATGAGTCGCACACAGAGGTGAGGGCTGGGTAGGGTGGTGGTGGCGGTGGTGGATGCGTGCGTGTTGTGTGTGTGTGGCGGTGGTGGCCAGGGGCAGCATTGCGGCCTGTGTGGCGTGCTCTTCACCCCGCCACCCCTGCCCACCCCTGCCTGCCGCTCCTGCAGCTGCCCAAGTGCACCACCGCCTTCTGCACCGACTGCAACCGCGTGGTGGCGGTGGAGGGGGAGGTGCCCGACAAGGAGATCTGCAAGACGTGCGTGGATGGCTACGCGCCAGACAGCGCAGGTGGGCACCGCCTGTCCGCCTCGCCCTTCCTGCTTCGGCCACACCCTGCCGCACAGCCTCCTGCCAGTTCCGCCAGGTGCCCCGCAGCCACCACCCCGACGGCCATGAGCGTCGCTGCTGTCGTCGCTGCCGCCGCCGTGCAGGCGTGTGCCAGCGCCTCAACTCCACCGCCTCCCGCAAGCTGCTGTACACCCCCGACGACAAGAGCTGCCCTGTTGGGGAGTACCTCTACAAGGGTACCATCCAGGGCGGCTGCGGCGCGGTGAGAGCCAGGCGAAACCCACACACTCAAAACAACGGATGCAGCAAGCTGGCCAGGGGATGACCCCCTGGCGTGCTTGCCTGCGGCACGCCCTTGCGCCCCTCCATCTCCTCTGCCTCACCCGGCCCTTCCACCGCCCACTGCTGCGTCCCGCAGTGCACGCGGCCCGGCTGCGTCGAGGGCGAGATGTCCAAGACAGAGGGCGTGCCCACAGACGTGAGACACCGCCATGCTGCGCTGCGTGTGCAGGCGGCGGCCTTGGGTCGTGGGGCAGCGGGTCGCAAGCAAGCGCGGCCCCAGCATTTTGCATGCGCCTGCCTCCCTGCCTGCCTGCAGTGTGTGTGGTGCTACACCACCACTCAGGGCAACTGCCCCCGGGTGGGGCCCGGCGCCAATCAGTGGTGCCGATCCTGCACCTATGGATACTTCTGGTGGGTGGTGGTGTGCGTGTGTGAGAGGGTGTGGGTGGTGTGAGGTGTGCACGGCAGAGGCCTGCTCCACCTCGTGTATGCAGCTCCCGCCTGCGCCGATCTGCGCCCAGAGATGGCGCATGCCCTGATGTCAACACTGCCCTGCCCATGCGCAGGCAGGACCAGGGCTGCAACCAGTGCGAGGACTACGTTGCCAACTGCGCCGACTGCCAGCCCTGCTCAGACGGCAAGGTGCGACCGCATGCCATGCGCGGATGCATGCAGCGCTCGGCGCCAAGGGCCAGGTGACGCGCTTCCCTACCCTACATTGTTGTCACTCCCTGCTTGTGCCGCTCCTCCTGGCGTTGCAGGCGTGCCATGGCGGCACAGTGTGCGTCCAGTGCGAGGTTGGATACACGTTCAGGGGTGACGGCTATGGGTACTGCGTGCCGGAGTGAGTGGTGGAGCGGCAGGGCGGGCTGGTGTTGGGTGGATGCCGGCTGGGGCCCTCGAGCAGCGACCGGGTACTGCCGCATCTCTTCATCTCTTTGTTGATCATAGGGTATTTTGAGGTTATAAGCCATCAATCAATGTAAATTCCTTTTGCAAGAAAGATAAAAGTGTAGAAGCAATGAGCACGGGATACATGCTGACGCGACGAGGCGCCCGCCTGGCACTTGCATGTCATAGTATCGATTTCCATGGAATTCAAGCCTTCCTTCTAAGAATGTTTCACAATCACACTATCGTAATCAAGTTGTCCACCTCCACAAGCTTCCCAGAAACCGCGGTCTCGGAACCTGTCAAACCGTTTGTCGGTGGTTCGGGTTTTAAAAGAGGAAAAAAGCACAGCACGCAGGTACCTGTATTGGCTATTGCCCGCCCGTGACTGCACCACAGGAGCTTGCCGCCAACCCTCCCCGCGCCGACAGGTGCAAGGCCCGCCGAGCAGCTTCTCTTGCCAAGAGCCATGGTGACCTATGCGGTTGTGGGCGCAGCCGGCTGGACAGGGCGCACCTGCGTCGAGGTGTTGCTGCATCAAGGCTACAACGTCAGGTGGGGGAGCGGCGGGACAGGCGACAGCTTCCCTCGTGCCCGCACCGCCTCTCCTTCCTCCTCCTGCCGGCTGCCGCTCTCCACCGCTGCCGGCTGCTGCCCGCACCTCCACAGCGCAGGGCGGTGGTGCGTGACCCCGACCGTGCCCGCGTCTTGTACCGGACCCAGCCCACCCTGTCTGGCCTCTCCATCAGGGACGTGCCGGTCCCGGAACGGCTGCAGATTGTGCGGGGGGATGTGCGCGACCCCGAGTCGCTGCGCGCCGCCCTGCAGGGCTGCGCCGGTGTCATCTACGCCGCCACCTCCAGCGGATGGACGCAGCTGAGCGCCTTCTGGCGCACCATGCGCACCACCAGCCCCAGGGAGGTCGACTTCCAGGTGGGCCCACCCTGGGTGGGTGGGTGGGTGGGTGGCACAGGGCAAAGGCCAAGGGCTGAGGACTGCGGGGCGGGGCATGTGCCGAGCGTCGCGGGTCGATCGCTGGCGCCAGCGCGGCATGCCAGTGCCTGCTGCTCTGCCTGCCCCTGGGTGCCGTCTGCGGTTCGTCCCACGCCAGCCTTGCGACCGGCATGCGCCGTGCACGCCAGCAGGGCGTGCAGAATGTGGCGGATATGGCCCGGCAGCTGGGCGGCGTGGAGCGGCTGGTTCTGGTGTCTGCCTGCTACGTGACGCCCACCAACCGCTGGCAGCCCGCCCGCCTCTTCTGCAACACCCTGCTGGGCTGGGGGCTGATGGATTGGAAATGGAAAGGTGGGGCACCCCTGCTCCTCCTACCAATGTTGTTTGTGTGCATCAGAGGGGTGCTGTGTGGGGGCGGGTGTGTGGGTGTCGCCAGCCAATCCTGTTCACCCAGCCCACCACCGGCACACACCTGTTGCTTGGCGCAGGCGAGGAGGCGCTGCGGCACAGCGGCCTGCCCTACACAATTGTCCGCCCCGACTTCATCACCGCCCGGGGCCCTCGCCAGCGGCAGCTGACGGTGCAGCAGGGCGATGCATCCTTTGACCGCTTCCACTCCACCTGTGTGGCCGACCTGGCGGCGGTCTGTGTGGCGGCCCTCACCGACCCCGCAGCCGCCAATGTCACTCTGGAGCTGTTCAGCGACGCGCCGCCGCGGGGCGGGAAGGCGGTGCCGCTGGAGGAGCAGGTGCAGGGCGTCTTCCGGGGGCTGGCGCCAGACGGAGCGGCAGCGGCGGGTGCGCGGCAGGGCCAAGGCGGGGCGGGCGGCGGCGGCGGCCTCGCAGGGTAGTCCTCAGTGGAGAGATGACGGCATTTGTTTAGCAAGAGTCAGCCTAGTCAGATTTCTGCATGTGACCATGCGCAGCAACCATCATGGGCCATTGGGTGGCCCACAGAGCGGGTGCGCGGCGAGCGGGACCTGCCCGCTTGGCTCAATGCACTGAGCACGAGGCGCGCTTTCTCCACACGCTCCCCCGGGTGACCCAACTCGAATTAGTTGCTGCGAATGTGTCGAGCGCTGGGCAAACCAATACTGCTGCACGCTGAAAGCCCTTGAGGTGTGTGCCCCCACACCCGCACAGCGCTCTCTCGGAAGAGCCTGCTGCGATCGCAAGGCTGCGACAGAGAAGGCCTGCGCAGCCGAGTACCGCGCGTTTGTCGACTCTGTTGTGGGTGGCAGCGCCGCCGCCATCGCCGCACGGAGGCGCACGGCCTGCGGCTGAGCCTCCCCAAAGCTGCAGGAGGCATGGGGGTGCCACGGCTCCGCTCACCCGGCGTGCTAGCACTGCTGCTGCTCCACGCTAGCCTGGTGCACGGAGCTGCCGACGGTGCGGCCGTCACGTGCCCGACCCTGCCTGCCGACGATGCCGCCATCAGGCTGCTCCTTACGGCGGCGACGTACAACGAGAGCAAGGTGGGGCAATGCTTGGATGCTGGCTGGTGCTGCATGCCCTGAGTGGGGCTGTCAGGCCACCTGCATGCTCAGGCGCTGCGCACACGGCTCCGCCGCCCTGTCCGCCCACCTCCCCTCCTGCCCGTCCGCCTCCCCACCTGCAGACCCAGACCCTGGCCTTCAACGGCACCAAGTGGGGCCCCACGCTGCGCCTGAGCCTGGGCCAGCTGTACCAGATAGACGTCACAAACGCAGACATCGCTGGGGGCACCTCTGTGCACTGGCACGGCCAGCACGTGGCCAACGCCTCGTGGGCCGACGGCGCCCAGGGCCTGACGCAGGGCGCCATCCCGCCCGGCGGCACCTTCAGCTACCGCTTCGCCGCCGGGCCCGCAGGTGTGCAGCGCCCCGGCTGCGGCTGCTGCCGCCACATCACTGCTGCTGCGCTGCCGTGGCCTGCTGGCAGCCGGCTTGCCACCTTCCACGTCGGCTGAGGCCCACTGTCACTCACGAAAGGCCCCAGCAGCTGCTCACGCCACGCCCAAGCCACCAACGCGCCTCCTTGCCTGCCTCCTGCCCTCCCCTCCACCCCTCCCTGCCTCCCCTCCCCAGGCACACACTGGTACCACTCCCACACCCACGGCCAGTTTGGCGACGGCCTGCGGGGCGCCCTCATCGTGTCAGGCCCAGCCGACCCCTCAGCCCAGCTGTACGACGCAGACGAGCACCTGCTGCTGCTGGCAGATGTGTTTAGCACGCCGGTGGCGGCGCAGCTGGCGGCGCAGCGGCGCGGCGGCGCGGGCATGGCTATGTGCCCTGGCCTGGACGTGTCTGATGCGCCCTGGTTTGCTGCAGAGGTGAGCGCGTGCGGGTCGTGGCGCTGCGGGGCGCGGCGGGCAGGCAGCTGGGCAGCCGGGCCAGGGGGCGTGCACTGGCCGGGGCATGTTCTGAGTGAGCCTGAGTGATGCCACCGTGCGCACGCCGTTAACCCCTATCCCACTCACCACCAACCACCCCACCCCACCCCTGTTTTCCACCCAGGTGAATGGTGAGTCGTTTGCCACCACCGGCAAGGCGGCAGTGCTGACGGTGCGGACCGGCAAGCGGTACCGCTTCCGCGCCGTCGGCGGCATGTCCAGCTGGGCGGTGGCGGTGGCTGTGCAGCGGCACAACGTGACGTTGATCGCCGTGGATGGGCAGCCCGTGCAGCCCGCGCCCGCCGCCGCTCTGGTGCTCAACAGCGGCGAGCGCGCCGACTTTGTGCTGGCAGCGGGTGAGCAAGCCAGCTGGCGGCGGCACCGGCCAACACCAACGACGTTGTGCTGGCTCAGCCCGCCGCTGCGCGCTCTGTGCTGCTCCTGCCCTCTCCAGCCGAGCGTCCTCTTCTCACGCGGTCCCCCGCGCCTCACACCCGCACCCTCGCCCCATGCCCTGCTGCGCCGCAGACCAGCCGGTGGGCAACTACTGGATCAACGTGACCACCCTGGATGGCCACAACTCGCCAGCCATCCTGCACTACGAAGGGGCGCCAGACCCAGCCGCCGACCCCGCGGTGTCTGCCGGCGCATACGACGCGGAGCTGGGATGCCTGGGCAGCAGCCTGTGGGGCTTCGAGCAGACGGCCGCGCTGCGGGCCGGGCCGGGCGTGCCGCCGCCGCCGCAGGTGCGCGCGCAGCTGGTGCCGCCTTTCAGGGCGCCAGCTGGCACGCGCTGGTGCCTGGGGCACCCGCATCTGGCAGATGGTTGATGACTCGGCTCCCTGCCGGCGCTCTGCCCGCCACCTGCATGCCCCTGCAGGAAAGCGACCGCCAGCTCACGCTCTTCCTTTCGTTCGGCGGCGCCTCCGCAGCCCCCGCCTCCTTTGCCCAGTCTGCCGCCCAGCCCGACAACCCGTACGGGCTGCCGGCCGCCGCCGCCGCCGCCGCCGCGCTTCCGGCAAACGGCTCGGGCTGCCCAGCCGGCAACGGCTCCTACTGCTGGAGCTTGAACTGGAACGTGTTTGCCATGCCCCCCTCGCTGCCCATCTACGCCGCCGCCGGCTCCGCGCCGGGCAACGGCGGCGACGCGTCCCAGGCGGGCCAGCCAGCCAGCTACAGCATCGCGCTGCAGCAGGGTGAGGTGGTTGACCTGGCCATGGTCAACACCGGCGGCATGGTGCACCCCATGCACCTGCACGGCGCCGCCTTCTGGGTGCTGGCCACCGGCCACGGCGACGTGCTGACGCCGGGCGGCGCGCTCAACGCCACCGCCGCCGCCCTCAACCTGCGCGACCCGCCGCTGCGGGACACGGCCCCCGTACCGCCCGCCCGCATGGCGCCCACGATGGCCGGCCGCGTCGCGGACGGCACGGGGGATGGCGATATCGGCAGCATGGGCGGCGAGCACGACATGCACGGCATGCATGGCATGGACACCTCAGCATCGGAGGCAGGCACGGTCGCGGCCGCCGAGGGAGGCACGGACGCGTCCGCGGAAGGGGCAGCCACGGGCCACGAGGGTCACGACATGGGCGGCGGCATGGCCTCGGCGGCAGAGGCGAGCGGCTCGGGCCACGAGGGGCACGGCACGGGCGGCAGCGGCATGGCAGGCGGCGCCGGCATGGGCCACCAGCACGGCACGGTGGCCAGCCCCGACGCCCAGGGGTATGCCGTGGTGCGCTTTGTGGCGGACAACCCGGGAGTGTGGGCCTTCCACTGCCACATCGACCTGCACTCCGCCTCGGGCATGATGCTCTACTTTGTGGTGGAGCCGCAGCCGGCCCCAGCCAACAGCAGCGGCGGCGGAGGCAGCAGCGGCGGCTGGTATGCGCCAGAGGGGCTGGAGTGCGGCGGCAGCCACCACGTGCACGCGGCGGCGACATAGCCAGCGCGGGTGCTGAGGCGGGGCGGCGAGGCGCGATGCGCGCCGTAGCGCCCACCAGCTCCTGCCGCGCCCGTCTCCCACACTGCCGGCACTGGCTGTATCGCTCCGCACTGCCTCTTGCTGTCTGTTCTATGAGCGTGCCGCTGCACACAACTGCAGTCGTTGTTGTGAACATCATGCCCTGCGCCTCCATCACACGACTCACAAACAGGCGCACAGTGTGATCAGATGCGACAAGGCACAGCTACGCTCCAGAAAGCTACTCGACTGCTGCTGCCGGCTGCGCTGCTGTGCTGCCGTGTGCCGCTACGCCCGCTCCTCCTGCCGGCTGCGCAGGCGCCGCGCCACGTGCTGCGTGGCCTCCAGCCAGGCCCGCGCGACCTGCTGCAGGCGGGGCGGCTGCGCCTCCGCCGCCACGCCCGCCGCAAAGCGCTCGCGGCACGCATCCAGCAGCTGCTGCTGCTCCGCAGCGGCGGCCTTAGCGGCGGAGGCGCCGCCGTGGCCCAGGCGGGGGAAGACTGCGGTGGGGGGCTCCCCGGGGTAGCCTGGCGCCACCCGCAGCATCAGCACCTGCCAGCGCTGCTGGTCGGCCACGCCGCCGCCGCCGCCGCCGCCGTTGCCGTTGCCCTCGCCGCGCGCGGCCTTGGGCACGCAGGTGACAAGCGCGGCGCCCGGGTCTGAGCTGTCTGGCGCCACCAGCAGCCACAGGGCGCCTCCCAGTGCCGCCGCCGCCTCCTCGCACTCCACCGCAAGCCGCCGCTCCAGCTCCGACTTGGCCCGCGGGCCCTGCCCCCGCGGCTGCTGGCCAGGCTGAGCGGCGCCCGCGGCGGCGCCGGCCTCCGGGCTGCCGCTGCGCTGCCGCTTGGCGGCCGGCTCGCCGTACGCGCCGCCCTCCGACCCCGCCCCCGGCGCGGCCTGCTGCTCCACAAAGCCGTGGCCCGCCGCCGCCGTCACCAGCCCCGCGGCGCCGCTGCCGGCCCCGCCCGCCGCCGCCACGGCTGCCTCGAGCGCTGCCTTGTCGCGGGCCACCAGGCGCCGGGCCTCTGCGGGCAGCGGCGGCGTGCTGACGGGCTGCGCCGCCGTGCCCAGCTGCCTCTGGTCGGCGGCCTGCAGCACCTTCTGCAGGCGGCGGAAGCCTGCCTGGATGGCGGCGGCGTCCTGCTGGCCGCGCGGCTGCGCCGACACCGCCAGCAGGCGCTGCTGCGCGTCGGCGGGCAGCGGCGCCGCGGCGGCGGCCGCCGCGGCCGCCTCGCGCCTGCGCTGCTCCTGCAGCTGGCGCTGGCGCAGCAGCGCCTGCTGGCGCGCCGCCTCGGCGGCGGCGCTGGGCTGCTGGGCCGCCTGCTGCGTCGGCGTGGCAGCTGGCGTGGCGCCTGCCGAGGCGGCGGCGCTGCCCGGCGGTGTGGCAGAGGGGATGTGCAGCCTGAGGCCCTCGCTGTCTGCAGACTCCATCATCGCCAGGAAGCCGCCAGGGGAGAAGGCCCCGCCTGCAGCGCCGCCGCGGTCGGGCCATGAAGGGTCAGAGGTGCAACGAGGTGTGGGCAACCCGCTGAGGCTGCAGCCGAGGCCGGGGAAGGCTGCCCTAGCAGGCAGGGCAGGCAGCCCAAGGCACCAGACAGCCATCCGGCAGGCAGAGGGGTGCGCCGAGGCTCACCGGGCGAGGGGGCGCTCGCCGCGGGCGGCGGCATGCTGGCGGCGGCGGCTGCACCCCCGCCGGCCGCCGCCTTCCCCGCCGCCGCCTTCTGGTGGCTCTTCTTCTGTGGGCAGGCCAGCAGCTGGCAGTAGCTTCAGGAAGCAGCGAAGGGGCAGCGAGCCTTCATGCATGGCCGACAGGCAAACACAGAGCAGCGCAGCGGTGCGGGAGGGCCACTCACCACCACCTCCCGATACGAGCCGAGGTCCCGGATGAAGTTCTGCAGCACGGCAGAGCAGAGCAGGGCAGAGCAGAGCGGCATGAGGGGTGCCAGCAGCAGCTGCGAGGTGCAGCACCAGAGCAGCACCAGAGCAGCAGCACCACCACTACCAGGAGCCGTGTGCACCAGCACCACACAGCAGGGGGTGCGTGTGCATGCGCATGCGTTGGGCACCGCGGCACTGGTACAGCAGCAGCTTCCCAGGACGCGGGCACCGCATGGCGGCAGTGGAGCCAAGCCGGGCAGGGGACCCACCTTTGTGAGACTGACCACACTGTCTGTGATGCTGATCTGGTGGTGCGGGTTCTCCGCCTGCAGGCAAGGTCGGTTGAGGGGGTGCATGGCGGTGATGCAACACGTGTGTGTGTGTGTGGTGGGGCAGCTGGGACGGCGCTGAGCTGCCTGCGCCACGCTCAACACCTACAGGACGGGCGGGCAGGTAGGCAGGCACCCTGCCATGTCACAGCCTGCCATGCCGGCGCGGCGGGCTGGCCGCCTCACCAGCAGCAGGCGCAGCAGCATGCTGTAGCGCTGCACGCGGATGGCCATTTGCTCGGCGCGCGCCGGCTGCAGCTTGCTGGTGTCGCGGTAGAACTGCAGCATGCGCTCGGCGTCCTGCGCGGCATGGCGTATGTATGTGCGTGTGTGTGTGTGTGTGTGTGTGTGTCCGTTGCAGGTCCGGGGGGATCCAGTCAAACCACCCTGGATGCCAGAGAGCGCAAGGGTGTGCGCATGGCGGCCTGCGGCGGTTCGCGAGGGCAGGCATGCCGCGCTTGCTCACGGCAGCGCCCAGCTCGTGCGGCGGCCGCACCGTTTTAGCCTTGGTGCGCTGCTCGGGGAGGTTGATGATGGCGTGGAGTCGCATGAACTCCTGCAGGGCCGCAGGCTCGTGCGCAAGCGGGCGGGAGCCGCCCCTGTAGCGCTGCTGCGTGGCGTTGCTGGGCAGGGCGGCTGGCGAGCCCTTGCTGCTGTCGCCCGCGGACGCCTGCGGCTGCGCGGCGAAGCGCGGCGGCGGCGGCGGCGCCGCAGGCGCTGCCTGGGCCTCCGATGGGAACAGCTCTGCGGCAGCGAACGCATGGAGAGGCGTACCGCAAAGCTCAGGCAGTGGCAAAACAAATGGGAAGGCACAGCGAGCAAGGCACAGCGAGCAGACACGTCTGGACGGGCCTCCATGTTTGGGAGCCTCCCAGGAGCAGGCCTCCCATGTGCCGGGAGCGGCGCCCCACCTGCCGCAAAGTCGCTGAAAATCGGGTCATCAAAGGATGGGAGGCGGGCCAGGTCCCCAGCAGTGAGCTGGCTGGGGCGCAGCGCCTGGGGCACGGCGGACGGTGCCGCCTGCTGCGGGGGGCCTGGGATCGGCAGCTGCTGCACAGGTGCCTGGATCGGCTGCTGCTGCACCGCCTGCGGCTGCACCGCAGGAGCTGCGTTGTTGCCGTACTGCTGCACAGTGTAGCCCCCGCCGCGTGCCTGTGCCACGTACTGCTGCTGCGGCTGCGCAGGCTGCTGCATGTACTGCTGCTGGGGCTGGGCGGCCGGCTGGACGTACCCCTGCTGCTGCTGATTTTGCACATACTGCGGCTGGGACGGCTGCTGCACGTACTGCTGCTGTGGCTGGGTCGGCTGCTGCACGTACTGCTGCTGTGGCTGGGCCTGCTGCTGCATGTACTGCTGCTGCACTGGCTGCTGCTGCACATACTGTTGCTGTGCCTGCGCCTGCATGTATTGCGGTTGCACAGCCGCAGGCTGCTGCATGTACTGCTGCTGAGGCCGAGCCTGCTGCTGCACATACTGCTGCTGCGGCTGCGCTGCCTGCTGCATGTACTGCTGCTGCGGCTGCGCCTGCACCTGTTGCTGCACGTATTGCACCTGCGGCTGCGCCTGCATGTACTGTTGCTGCGCCACGGGCGCCTGCATGTACTGCTGCTGCGGCTGGCGCACATACTGCTGATGCGCCGCCTGCGCCTGCGATGCAGGCTGCATGTACTGCACCGGCTGCTGCTGCTGCTGTGCCTGCATGTACTGCTGCTGGGGCTGGGCCTGAGCCATGCCCATGTACTGGGCCGCCTGCTGCTGCTGCTGCTGCTGCTGGTGCTGCTGGTGCTGCTGCTGCGGCATGTTGTGCTGGTTCATGCCATACATCTGCTGCGGCGGCGCCGCCGCGGTCTGCTGGTGCATGTACTGCATGTTTCCGGGCGCCGTCTGCGCCATGCCCGCCATGCCGTACTGCGCGGCACCGCCGCCACCGCCACGTGGCGCCGCCCCCTGCTGCTGCATCACCTGCGCCTGCTGCGCCATGCCCCCCGCCATCTGCCCCTGCTGCGCCATCGCCTGCGCCTTTTGCTGCGCCGCCACCGCCTTGGCCAGGCTGTTCTGCAGGTAGCCCGCGTACTCCTCCCGGCTGTTGGCCTTTTTGTACACAGCCTCCTCCACCCTGGCAGCCAGCGCTGCCGCCTTTTCCACCGGCTGCCCAATGCTCTGCAGCCGCGCCTGCCTGCAGAGCCAAGCACAGGCGGGGATGTCACAGAAACAGCTTCATTACATCAGAATTGCGGTAAGTGGAAGCTTGCTGGACGACACTGACGACAGTGGTGAAGTCGGAGGTGCCAGTGAGCGGCGGCGTGGTGCAGGGTGCAGCGGCGTGAGCAGAGCCGTGCGCTCACATGTGGTCCACCGCGCGTTGCCTATCGGTCATCTTGATGTCCTGGGGCGGCATGGCTGCCCGTGCACACGCTCCAGAGTGTTGGAGCGGGGTTGAAGTGCGTCTGACTGACCGTGCAGGCCTGGTGCCTCGTTGGCGCTCCTCACTGCATCCAGGCCGCGTGGACTGGCTTGTGGTAGCACCCGAAGATTGGGCATGGGCATCGTGCTGCGCTGCGGACTGGGCATAGCAGCAGCAGCAGCAACAGGGTCTGCACCATCAATTGCAAGTTCTGCAGGCCCGTGTAGCATGTTTGGGCAGCGGCCGAGCGGCAGCGGTTGCGGGCGCCGCGGCCTGATCGCGGTGTTGGGCGCTGTGGCTCGGTAGAGGTCAAGGCTTGCTGATATGGAGTACGTGCTCACGCCCCTGGTCACCCGGGTGCTGCGCCAATACGTGAAGCGCTCAGCAGAGGGGGCGGGCAGCGACCTCAAGGTGGGCGGGTGGCAACGCCCGCCGCAGGCACAGGAGTAGGACTCCCTGCTGCCCAGCCTGCTGCTCCCTGAAGCATGGCTGCTGGCATGTGGGGCAGGATCTTGGCTGCGCCGCCATGGCACCTGTACAGCACCCCGTGTCCCTGCCTGCATTCACTGGCACCCACATTGCCGCCTCAGCTCAACCTTCACCGCACTCCCGTGTGAACCTGCTTGCCCCTCGCTTGCCCCTCGTTTTGCAGGTGTCCTTCAGCCGCGGCAATGTGCTCACCCTGCACAACCTGGAGCTCAACCTGGCGCCGCTGCTGGGAGGCGCCGCGTCCATGGCGCACGTGCGCCGCGCCTTTGCCCGCCGCCTGTCCATCACCATCCCCTGGACGGCGCTGACCACGCAGCCCATCCAGGCACGTGTGCAGCCCTGCTCACCGCTGGAGCATCCCCTCTTGTGCCACGCATGCTTGCCGCTGACCTGATCACAGCAAGAACAAGCGGCAATGCGTGATGTGCATGCAGCAAAGTGTCGAGCACCCATCACGTGTCGCATTGCCACCGGCATGATGGCACCAAAGGTCGCTGTTTGTGCGCAACGCAGGTGGTGCTGGATACGGTGGAGTTGGTGCTGTCGGCAGCCGAGCAGCAGTCCACCGGACCCACCCCCGCGGCCTCCACATCCGCGCTGGATGGCGGCAGCAGCGAGCAGTCCCTGGCAGCAGCTGCGGCAGATGAGCAGGCCGCCGTGTCAGCGGCTGCGGCAGCTGCGGCGAGCGGAGGGGGCGGCGGCTGGTTTGGCAGCACGCTTCAATCGATGGCGATGCGGGCTGGACTGAATGTGACAGGTGGGCGCCTCTGAGTTTGCGCCTGCACACACTCACACCCATGTTGAGCCAGCTCCGAGCTTGGCTGCCACCTTCTGCGTGGGCACCTCAATTCTGCTGACTGTACATTGCAACTGTCGGCACCCTCTTGCCCGGCTGCAGTCAAGCTGACCAATGTTGTTGCCAAGTGGGTGCAAGAGGGCGAGTTTGTGGCGGCGGTCACCTTCCAGCAGCTGCTGATGCAGACGAGCGAGGACGACTTCCAGGAGGGCTTGCAGGTGGGCCTGTTGCCCACACAATCGCCACCTGCAAGGGCTGCCTTTGGTGTGAGGTTTGTGGTGCTGGACGGCCTTTTGCGGCAGCCTGCGGTTGATGACGTCATGCTGCTGCCCGTCCCTTGCGGCGCCCGCTTGAACCGTGCTGCAGAACCCCGATGCCTGGCTGAAGAAGGAGTGCAGCATTCGGCAGCTGAGCATTAGCCTTGACCAGCACCTGCTTGCCTCCGATACTCCCAGAGCAGCGGCAGGCCCACCCAGTGCCACATTTGCTCCTGCCGGCAGCCTGGCTGGCAGCGCCAGTGGCACGAGCCTGCAGCCCAACTCCCCCCCCGGCGGCGGCCTGTGGAAGGTTGGGAGCGGCAGCTTTGGCGGCGGGCCCACGGCCCACAGCTACCAGCCGCTGCTGCGCATCTCCAGCATCGGCGTCTCGGCGCTGCTACCCGCCTTTGCTTGGCTGGAGGTGGGTGGTGCGGCGTGCTGCGCTGCACTGGTGCTGTGTTGTGCTGTTGCTGCACTGCTGCTGTGGTTGTGTTTGCCTGGGTCCATGGGCCTCCTGATCAAGGTCCCCAACCGGCTAGCTTGCTGGCTGGCTGACTGGTGCTTGCCTGGCGTTGCAGGGTGCTGACCTGGCGGGTGATGCCTTCAACACATCTGTGGAGGTTCGGGTGGCGCCCCTGCACGGTGGGTGGGCTGGCTGTCCCCGCCACACTCCCGCTGCCATGCTCCGCCGTGCTGCCTGCGACATCAAGTGCTCCAAGGCTGTGGCCGCAGCAGCATGCTGCTAGTAGGGGCTGATGAACACGCCCCCTTGTGACTGCAGTGGCCATCAATGACCGCCAGATACGCTGGGCAGGCAGCCTGGTAACGGTGATGAAGGCAGCGGCAGCCGCCAAGGCGGCGGCGGCAGCCCGTGAGGAAGCAGCGGCAGCAGCGCAGGCGGCAACCGCGCTGGCGTCAGGGTCAGCCACGCCAAGCAAGCTTGTGCAGGCGCTTGGTGCAGCGGCGGGCACAGCCGAGGCGGCGGCAGCCGTGTCACCAGGCCCCTCGCCGCGCGCTGCGGCAGTGGCCGCTCGCCCCCAGGCCAAGGCGCTGGGCATGTTTGGCCGGGTCTGGGACTTCCTGATTGACGAGGCAGCGTATGTGGAGGCGGCCGAAGGTCAGCTCGCCTTTGGCCAGCCTCTGCGCCATTCCGCAGGCGTTGGCATGGCGGCCGTGTGGCTGCCGCGACATTCTAGCCGAACCGTTGCCCTGAGTGCGGGCGCGCCTGTTCAGCCTGCTCTTTCCCACCACCAAGGCTCTCCCCTTGCGTCCTCCCTGCCGCGCAGGCGCCTCGCCCTTGGGTGGCACGCCGCGCAGCAAGGTGGCGAGCAGCCTCCCAGGCAGCGGCCGCCCAGGCGCGTCGCCGCTGCCGGCGGCCGGGCAGCCGCCCAGCGTGCCCATGTATGCAGAGCTTCAGGTGGTGGTGGAGCAGGTGCATGCGGTGCTGGGGGTGGTGGAGGACCGGCCGCAGCAGCACCACTACCCGCAGCAGCAGCAGCAGCAGCAGGCGCCACAGACGGCAGCCCTGGCTCCAGACCTGGCCGCCACTCTGGAGCAGCTGCGGCAGGCCACAGCTCGCAACTCGAAGGAAGAGGCCGCGGCACTGCAGCGCCAGCTGGCGGCCGCGCTGGCGGCGGCAGACGCGGCGGAGCCTGGCGGAGCGGCGGGGCAGCGGGGTGCGGGGCACCAGGCTGCCTTCGAGGTGCACCAGTTTGCCGAGCTGCGGCTGCAGCACCTCAAGGTGGGTGCGTGGGGAGTGGGCAGCGTGGGTGCGCCTGTGCCAGCCTGTCTTCATGTCAAGCGTGTGTGAGAGTGCTGTGTGTTTGGGTATGTTTGTGGTGGCCCAGCCAGCCAGCACACCCCGCCCTCTTTGCCCATCCAGCCCACCGGTTAGCCTGCCCCTGCAACCTGCTGTGCCGCAGTTGGCTGTGGCCTCTGTGGATGCCAGCATCTCCGGTGCGGCAGTGGAGGTGCTGCATTGCAGCCTGCGGCGCAGCTTGGCGGCGGCCGCGCTTGTGTCGCAGCTGCTGGCGGCGCCTGGCACGGCAGCAGGCGTCGAGGCAGCGCCGGCTCGTACCGGCATGGCCAAGTCGCGGAGCGCGGCCAGCCTGCAGCGCTTGGAAGCGGACAGGCAGGCGCTGGCGGCTGCCGCCTCGGTCGCCGGCTCCAGCAGCTGGGTGGAGGTGGTGGCGCTGGAGGGGGAGCAACAGGAGCAGGCCACGCCGCCGCCCTCGCCCGGGCAGCAGGAGGTGGCGCGGGCGGCTGTCAGCGTGCACTATTACGACACCACCGCTGCGCCGCGTGGCCAGGCCCGCAGCAGTGGCTTCCCCGGCAGCAGCAAGCCGCAGGGTGCAGCCCTGCGCTGCTCTGTCACGGTGGGCCGCCTGCTGCTGGCACACGCCCCTGGCTTGCTCACCAACCTGCTGCTGCTGGCTGGCCAGTACTCGGCAGGCGGCGGGCCTGCTGTCGCCCCATCTGCCTCTGGTGTCATGCTGGGAAGCAGCGACAGCCTGTGCGCGCCAGGTGACGGCGGTACAAGCAAGGCAGGCAGCCCGGCAAACCCGGCTGCGTCAGCTGGCTCGCTGGACTGGCAGGCAACAGAGAGTGCAGACGCTGCCAGCAGCAGCCCGTCCCTGCTGGCGCAGGCGCTGCAGCCGCAGCTGGTGCTGAGCTGCCGGGTGGCGCAGGTTGAGGTGGCGGCGCTTTCCTCCCAGGCCTCTGAGGCCGCCGCCGTGCTGCTGCTGCTGCGCGAGCTGGAGCTGCGCAGCGGGCCACTCAACTGGGAGGCGCCCTGGAACAACCACCTGCGGCACGCGCTGCTGGCGCCCACGCACGGTGAGCCTAGGCAGCCACCCTCAGCGTGTTGTGGAGGGCGACGACTGTGCCTTGAGGCCGCCCTCGGTGCATCGCGTAACCCTCCCCACCTGTGCCCGCGGGCCTTCCTCTCATGCAGGCTTTGCTGGGCACGGCCTGCGCCTGGGCCTGGGCGGCGCCATGCTGGCGGTCGCTGACTCAGCATCCGCTGCCGAAGCGCAGGGCATGGGCGACTGCAGCGGCTTGTGGCAGCTGCGGCATGCCAGCGGAGTGAGCAGCAGGGTGCACCTTGATGCGGTGGTGGCGACGGAGCCACCTCCGGGCCCTGCCAGCAGCGCCGGCGACAGCGGCGGCGGCAGCAGCGACACAGGCAGGCTGGTGGTGTCCGCAGCCCTGGCGCCCCTGAACATCCACCTGTCGGGGCAGCAGGCAGCAGCCCTGGCAGCCGTCGTGGATGCCGTGGCAACCGAGGCGGAGCACCAGTACCAGACGCCGCTACTGCTGCAGGAGGTGGAGCCGGCGGAGCAGGCAGGCGCCGCCCCTGCTGCCGCCTGGCTCTCCAGCTGCACCCTGGCCGTGGATAGCGGCATGCAGCTGGCATACGTGGCAGCCGGCGGCCTGCAGCGGTGGCGGGGCCCGCAAGGGGCGGGCATCGCAGCGGCTCCTGCCGCCGCAGATGGCTGCCGCAGCGGCAGCGGCGGCGCAGACGCCACCACACATCTGTACGTTGCCCTGGGAGGCATCACGGCGGCAGTGACTGCCAGCCCAGCAGCGGCAGGCGCGCATGGGCAGCGGCGCCTGGTGTTGCAGGCACAGCTGGTGCAGCCACATGCGTGGGTGCTGCCCTCGCTGGCGGTGCAGGTGCCAGCCGCCGAGGCTCGCTTAGGGCTGGCATCAGCAGACCACAGCAGCACTGTGCTGCTGGCCGAGCCGCTGCTCCTCCTGGCGGGTGCCTGCTACGGCCGGCAGCAGGAGCACAGCACCGTGCAGCTGAGCAGCGTGTCGGTGTCTGTGGGAGCCGCCGACTACCCGCTGCTTGCCAGCCTGGTGCGTTGCTGGCGGCAGCAGCCCGCGCTGCCGCCCCGCCCCACTCTTTGCCCAGCCGCAGCTTTGTTGGGAGCGGCGGAGCAGCCAGTGCAGCAGCAGGCAGCACGAGCGGCAGCAGCGCCACAGGCGGCAGGAGCAACAGAAGGGGAGGTGGACAAGGGGCAGGCTGTTCAGAGCGGGCTTGTTGTGCGGATCGACGCTGCCAGCCTCACCGTCTGGGCCCAGCCTCTGCAGCAGCAGCAGGGCAGCAATGAGCAGGTGCAGCAGCACGGAGTTGCAGTGTGGCTCAGCCAGCTGCAGCTGAGCAAGCAGCAGGCCGAGGGCGGCGGCAATGGGAGCAGCAGCGAGGTGACTCTGGTCGCAGCGCATGCTGCGCTGGTGCGGCAACGGCAGCCTGGAAGCAGTGGAGATCCAAGCAGCGGCCCTCTTGAATTCTCTCCAGTGCTGAGTTTCCCGGCTACTGTGGAGCGGCAGCAGGCGCAGGAGCAGGAGCATGAGGAGCAGTGGCGGCAGCCGGCCCTGATGCTGACTTGGAGCAGCAGCCAGATCAGCCTGGGTGGCAGCCTTACCCTAAGCCCCAGCAAGGGCCCCAGCAGCGGGGGCAGCCGCCTGCAGCTGCACGCGATGCCCATCAGCCTGACATTCAGCCGCGACCTCGTTGCGGCTGTGGGCACCATTGTTTCAGATCTTGGCGGCTCTGAGGAGGGCCAGGAGGAGGAGGAGCGGCAGCAGCAGCAGCAGCAGGTGCCCTCTGTGGCAGCACACCCGCCAGAGGAGGAGCCCGAGCCGCTGCAGGGCAAGGCAGCCCTGCAGGGCGTGCGTGTCGTGCTGCTGGAGGCGGCCCGCTGGGAGGATGAGCAGCGGGAGGAGGAGGCGACGGTGGGGGAGCCTTGGCGCCGCCGCCGCCGCTTCGACAGGCCCGCGGCGGCGGGCGTGGCGGCGGTGGAGGTTGAGATTGAGGAGGCGGTGCTGCTGCTGCAGCAGGTGCCTGCCGCCGAGAACCGGCCGTGGCTGGCGGGCAGCAGGGCGGCAGCGGCGCTGATCACCCTGGCAGATGCCTCACTGATTGGGGCAGCCATCACTGTGTGGCATGCGGGTGAGCTTGCTGCCCTGCATGGGCCACCGCTTTCGGTTGCATGTTTGTGGCAAGGGAGTTCGCTTTCAGCCGCCTTTCCTCTCCACGTGGGGAGGGCTGGCAGGCAGCGGGGCGCAGCTGACGCACAGGCGCCTTCTGACCCTGTGCTGCCGCTGCCGCTGCGCCTGCAGGCGCCGAGGGTGCCGATACCACGGCGGTGCTGCCGCCCACCGACGGCCGCCTGCAGCTGCTGCTGCAGCCGCACACGGGTGCCGTGGGCGTCGCGGCCCACGTGCAGCTGCTGCCTCTGCAGGTGTCCCTGCCAGCGGTGGCTGCCATATCCGCCGTCGTCGCCTCCCTGAGCCGGGACGACAGCAAGCAGCAGCAGCAGCAGCACGCGGCGGCACGCACCACTGTCGTCGCGTCGCCCAGGCCTCCCTCGCCCTCGGCAGCTGCAGTGGCGGCCGCTGCCACAGTGATCATCGAAGATGCCTCTGCCACTCTGGGGCTGCACAGCCACCCACCTGCTGGTGGTGCCACCACGGCAGCGACGCTGGGCGCCCAGCCAACATCCGCAGCATGGGCCGGCGGCAGCGTGCCCTCAGGCCGCGGCGCTGGTGGAGGGGAGGCCCAGCAGCAGCCCACCGACGACCTGGCGGCTGCGCTCTTCACGTTTGTGCACAGCAGCGGCGACAGCAGCAGCCGGCCCGCGCCGCTGCAAGTGCAGACGCTCAGCAGCGGCAGCGCTGAGCAGCGTGGTGGCAATGGCAGGGCGGCGGGGCTGGGGGCCCGGCTGTGGGGCACCGCGGCGGGCAGTGGCGGCAGGCAGGAGGTGCAGGCTGGGCAGCAGCTTCGCCGGCAGGGCATTCGGTGGTGCTACCCGCAGGCACGGGAGGTAGCGCTGCTAGTCATAGAGGTGTGAAAGGGGGACAGGCAGCCAACACTTTGACTAGTCGGCCACTAAGGCACCTGCCCCTTGCTCACATGTCCTGCTGCTTGTGCTCCAGCACCATGTTGCACGCTCTCACACCCCCACCTCTTCTGCTGTGCAGGACGCCCCGCCGGCCCTGCTGGCAGCATCCTTCCAGCTCAGCTACTTCTCGGCGGCGCAGGAGGGCTATGTGGAGGTGCCGCTGCAGGCTGTCATGCTAGACAGCATCAGCGCTGCCGGCGGTACTGCCGGTGCCGTGAAGACGCTGCTGCTGATTGGCGAGGAGGAGGAGGCGGCGGCGGCGGCGGAGTGGGAGGTGTGCTGGGAGCTGCCGGCGGCGGCCAGCGCGGCGGCGCCGACGGCGGCGGCCGTGCTGCGCCACCTGCGGGTCAACCCTCGGCCCTGCAGCGCCGCCGCCGCGGCGGCCGTGGCGGGCCTGGGGCGCCAGGTGCGGCTGCCGCCCCCTCTGGCGGCCTCGCTCACGGTGGTGCTGACGGCAGAGGGAGGCAGCCTGGCGCTGCTGGCCCCCGCGCCGCTGCTGCCGGTGCAGGGCCAGCACAAGCAGCAGCACCCGCACCACCAGCAGCACCAGCCCCACGCGGCAGCAGCAACGGCGGCGGCCCTGCTGGATACGGTCGCGGTTCTGCACGCCGGCAGCTTGAAGGCGGCGGTACACACGTACCCGTCGGCGCCAGGTGGCAGCCAGCTGGCGGTGGACCTCAGCGCCACGCTGGCGCTGTGCCTGCCCGACAGCAGCAGCGCCACAGCCCCCGCAGGCACAGAGGGAGCCTCGGCGCCTGGCTGGGCGCTGATCGAGCCCTTCGAGCTCGATGCGGCAGTGGAGGTGAGCGGTGGGGGCAGTGGGGATGGCACGCCTGCTCTGCACGAGCAGCTGTCTGAAGCGGAGGTGTTGGCGGCCGGGGAAGGCACCGCTGGGGAGCAGCAGCAGCTGGAGCAGCAGCTGGCGCTGCCGCTGTTCTGGCAGGGCCAGCAGGGCCAGGAGCTGCCGCTGCTGGCGGTGCGGCGGCCGCCACGGCGGCCGGGGCTGGCGGTGCTGCTGGCGGCGCAGGGGCACCCTCTGGTGGTCAATGCCTCAGAGGGCGGCCTGGCGGAAGTGAACCGCCTGCTGGCTGTGCTGGCCAGCCCTGGCAGCGACAGCGGGGTCAGGAATGGCGAAGCGACAGAAGGGAGCGGCGCACGCAAGGGGCAGGCAAGGGAGCAGGCGGCCGGGCAGGCGACCAGCGAGGCGGCGGCGGCGGCGACGGCGGCCGCGCCGCTGCTGCTGGTCAACAGCAGCGGGCTGGACTTGCGTGTGCGGCAGGAGGGCGCCGCCGGGCGCCAGCTGCTGCTGCGCCAGGGCCAGCGCCTGCCGCTGGTGTGGCCCGCGCCGCCGGCGCTGGTACCGGGCGCCACGCGCCGCCTGCAGCTGGCGGCGGCCGGCGCGGCAGAGGACGACCAAGCCGCCTGGAGCGCGCCTGTGGATGTGGGTGCCGGCCGGGCCGGCACTTTCTTTGCTGCCATGCCCTGCTGGCTGGTGCCAGCCTGCTTCTGCTCCCCTCTCGCCTTTCAGCCCGCCTGGCGCTGGCGCCGCTGCACAGCTTGAGTGCCGACCCGTCGCTTTCCTGTCCGCTTGCCTGCTGTGCAGGCCATGGCAGCAGGCGGCCACCCGCTGCTGCTCCCCGCAGCGGCAGGCCACGGAGGCAGCTGCGGCCTGGCAGTCCAGGTGCAGCCGTACAGCGGCAACAGCAGCAGCTGGGAGGTGGTGCTGCTGCCGGGCATGCGGGCGGTGAACCACATTGCTGTGCCGGTGCATGTAGCGCTGGCTGCTGAGGGCGGCAGCGCCAGCGTGCATGGCACGGCGCCGCCCCATCCACCCAAGCCACAGCCGCTGGAGGTTGGCAGCGGCGGCAGCCTGAACCTGCCGGCACACAGCAGCGACGGCCTGCTGCGGCTGTGGCTGGGCAGCGGCGGCGCGGGCAGCGGGGGCGGCAGCGGCAGCGGCTGGTCGCAGGCGGTGCTGCTGCCGCAGCAAGCGGGGGCACAGCGGGACTACTCGGCGCCTGCTCAGAAGCAGGCTCCCATGCTCATGGTCCTGTTCAGCTCCCCGGCAGCCTCTGCCAGCGCCACGGCGGCGGGGCTGCTGCCGCCGGTCTCCGCGGCGGCGCAGCGGCAGTTGGGCGCGGTGCTGGCTCAGCTGCTGCCGCCAGATGCGGCCACGGGGCAGGCCTCCATCCAATTCTGGCCCCCGCTGCTGCTGCACAACAGAATGCCATGCCCCGTACGCCTGCTGCTGCCGACAGTGCACCTGGCGTCCTCTCCACCCCAAGCCGGGCAGCAGCAGCAGCAGCAGCCGCAGCACCGGGCGGGGCTGGAGGAGGTGGTCCTGCCAGCTGGCGCCAGCCAGCAGCTGATGGTACCGCTGCAGGGCGGCACCGTGGGCGCCCTGCTGGCACTGGAGGCGCCCGCGGGACCCGCGCTTGCTGCTGCCAACGGCAGCGCGCCAGGCAGCAGCAGCGGCGGCAGCAGCGGAGACACCCGCTCGGCCTCTGCTGTGGCTGGTATCGGTGCCGGCCTGGCGGTGGTGGTGCCGCCCCTCATTGCTGAGTCTGCGGATCAGCAGTGGTTTGCCGGCAGCTCTCCCAGCAAGAAGGCGGCGGCGGCGGCGGCAGCAGCGGCGGCGCCCACTGAAGCGGTGTACATTGCGCCGCCTGGGGAGTCCACATGCCTGCACCTGCCCCTGCTGCTGGGCGGCGGCGACGGCGCTGCCGCCGAGGCAGCCGACGTGGGGCTGGCGTCCCCGGTGAAAGGCGGCACCAGCGGCCCAATCGTGGTGGCTGGCGGCAGCGTCGTCATGGCTGACTGCTTGCTGGTGACGCAGCAGCACACCGAGGGCCTGCCGCTGCTGCAGCTGCTGCTGCTGCCCGCGCTGGCGGTGCACAACTGCCTGCCCTCCCCCCTGCTCTTCAAGGCAAGCGGGGAACTAGGATGCAGCGCCCGTTGGCTACATGTTGTTGGCAGGGGCGGGGTTCCAAGGGCGCTTCAGGCTGCCTTGAGCTAGCTGCCTGCCCCCGAGTCGATCCCCATGCCCCGACGGCCTGCCACTGCCACCTCGCCGGCTCCTGCAGGTGCCAGGCGCTGCGACCGCGGAGGTCCCCGCCGGCGGCTCGCTGCCGCTGGGAGCTGGCAGCGGCGGCGTGGCGGAGGAGGCAGTGGTGCTGCTGCCTGTGGGCCTGGCCGCAGCCGACGCCGGCTCGCAGCCAGCAGGCGACAGCACGCCGTCAGGGCAGCAGCACCAGCGGCTGCTGCTGCGGTCGCAGCCATTCAGCCTGAGCAGCGAGAACGAGGAGCCCAGTGACGGCAGCACGAGCAGCAGCAGCACACACCTGGTGCTAACCACCCCGCCTCCGCCACCAGCCCGCGGCGGCGGCCTATGGCGCAGCAGCAGCAGCAGCAGTGCAGCGGCCGACGCCACCGGCGGCTGGGGCAAGCTGGAGTGTCGGCTGGGGGCGCGGGTGGCGGTGCAGCACTACCCAGTGGCAGGCGGTACCGCCTCTGCGACTGCCGTCACCGTGACTGTCACAGCCGGCTGCTTTGTCTCCAACCTCAGCGGCCTGCCTCTGGAGATGCTGGTGGAGGGTGCCGCAGCGGAGGCGGAAGCCAGCCCAGCAGCAGCCGACGGCAGCGACGGTGCCCAGCAGCCCGCAGCAACAGGGTCGGCGCCAACGATGCTCATCTTGCCGCATGCCAGCACCGCGCGCAGCCTGCCCTCCGGCGGCAGCATCGGCGTCGTCGCAGAGGAGGCAGATGGCGAGGTGGGCGCGGCGAGGCGCGGCGTGCCGCTGCCTCACACCGCCACTCTCCCGCTGGTGCGCCTGTGGCAGGCAGACGGCGCCGCCGGCAGCGGCAGCAGCGGCAGCAAGAAGCGCCGGCAGCCGGCCCAGCAGCAGAGGTCTTGGGGCTCCACCTCGGATGTGCTTCGCTCCTTCAGCAGCGGCCTGCTGCCCTCTGGCCCGCACCAGTCGCAGCAGCAGGCGGGCAGCAGCCGGCCCGCGCTGCGCTTTGCGCTGACGCCCGCCGACCCCGCTGCGCCTGGCGCAGCGCAAGCGCAGCAGGCTGACTGGTCTGCAGCGCTGGAAGCCTTTGCAGCAGCGGGGCGGCAGCGGCTGTACCTGCAACAGCCGGCAGCGGCCCCGGCTGGCAGCTGCGACGACGAGGGGCATTGCGAGGCCAGCAGCGTTGTCATGCTGACCTATCGCGTGCTGCTCAGCGGCGGCAGCTTCCATCTGGTGCTGTTCAGGTGCACACACCACGCGTTTTTTTTGCGGGGGCAATGTGTCCCGTCCTGAGCCGGCTGGCAGGCTGGCCGCGATACCGTTGTGCTGCGCTGGTGCTGTCTGCTCCTGGCCTCAACATAACTGCACTGCTGCCGCCTCTTGGGAGGTGCAGGGACCGGCAGCCGCCGTTCGTCATCAAGAACGCCACGGCGCAGGCGATGGATGTGGGCTTCTTCCCTCCCGCCGAGGCCGGCGCCGGCAGCGCCGCCTACGAGGCGCCTCAGTCCGCCATCCGGGTGAGGCGTTGCTGGGCTGGTCGCCGTTTGGGGCCAGGGCACGGTGGATGCGGGCAGCTCTTAGCGCAGTCCCGCTGTCTGCGTCCCACATAACTCGAGTGGTGGATGCGGGCAGCTCTTAGCGCAGTCCTGCTGTCTGCGGTCCACAGCGCATTGTGACGAGTAACACTGCAACCGGCTCCCGCTCCTGCCACCTGGCGGTATCTGACAGTGCCTGGCGGTACGTGCCTGTACCGCAGGTGGGCCCTGGCCACATGCTGGAATGTGACTTCAACCCAGGCCGCGACGGCGGCGGCGACGGCGGCGGCGGCTCCCAGGCCGGCATGCTGAGTGCCAAGTGAGCAGGGGGCGGTACAGATGCTGTCCTGCCTCGGTCGAGCAGTGCGCCATGCCTCCACAGCATGTCCCAGGGCCCTGCGTGGCTGAGTCTGAGCGGCGTGCCGTGCTATCTCCTGTCGCGCTCCCTCAGTCCTTGGTGACTAACCATCCTGCCCGCTTGCACCCGTGAGTTTCTGTGCAGGAAGGGCAGCGGCGTGGGCGGATGGGACGACGAGGAGGACGAGGACGCGTTCCTGGACTGCTTGCTGCAGGTCGGAATGGTGGACGAGCGAGGCAGACCTCAGCTGAGCTGGCAGCCCAAGCTGGTATCGGGAAGAATGGCTGCATCTGCCGACAGTCGCCTCCCGCCTCTGTCCCTGTTCAGGAGGAGCTGCGGACGGCAGGGCAGGAGAAGCAGCAGCCGCCCCCGTTGCTCAAGTTCCGGGCGGCGGGAGCCGCCGAGTGGCGGCACACCTGCGTGTTGCTGCCGGGCCTGCACCCCGCTTCGGTGGCAGAGGTCGGGGCTAGCGGCGAGAAGGCGGCGGCGCAGGCAACAGCGGCAGAAGCTGATGTGGCGCCTGCTGAGCTGGCAGAGGTCCACATCAGCAAGTGCTGCGCCACCACCCGCATCCTGCTGCTGCCTGTGACCGAAGCGGCCGGCGCTGCGGCACCAGCCAAGGCATCAGCGCCTGCAGGCGGCGCAGCCATGGCCGAGGCCGGCGGCGAGGGCACTGAGGCTGGCAGCGCCGCTGCGGGGCAGCCGCAGCCGCTGTGGATTGGCGTGGCGTGCCGCCAGCTGCAGCTGTGCCTGTGGGACGATGAGCGGCAGCGCCTGCTCCCAGGCGCAGCTGGCGGCGGCGGCAACCGCAGCGGCGGTGCCGGCTCGGGTGCGCTGGGGCGAGAGCTCTTCAGCTTCTCGGCAGACAGCCTGGAGGTGGAGCTGTCGCAGCAGCTGCGCCTGGCACCAGGCGTGCAGGCAGTAGCGGCGGCAGGCGGCGGGCCGATGCACCCCTGGCAGTGCCAGCCGCTGCTTGTGATGGCGGCACGGCTGGCGGCCTCAGCGGTGCAACTGGATTCTTTCCTCCCCGCCAGCGAGCAGCCCGTGCTGCTCACCTCCCTGCCCGACGACAGCGCCGCCGGCGGCCAGCGCGGCCGCGGCGGCCCGCCGCTGCAGCTGGCGCTGGTGGTGCACCACTGCCCGCCTGTCCCAGGCAGCGACGGCGGCGACAGCCCCGGCATGAGCTTCCGCAACTGCTGGGTCCACGACCTGCTGATCCGGGTGCCCACGCTGGCGGCAGCGGCCGACGACGCCCTGCTGCTCTTTTTGGACCGCGCCACCGCCCTGCTGTCCGCACCCAGCGGCGGCGACGGCGCGGCAGCCGGCGCCCCACCGGCCGTCGCGGGCGCGCCGGCGCGGGAGGGCCAGCAGGAGGCGGCCGCGCTGGTGCGGCAGGCGCTGGCGGCGGAGGCCGCGGGGGCGGCCGCCTCCCGGCTGTACACGGAGCAGGCGGTTGTGGAGTCTGGTGAGCGGCGCACATGTGCCAAGCGCTCGGCTTGGGGTCAGCAGGGTCACAGCAGGTGGCAGTTGGTAGCGTGCCGCCAGCACGTCTTCATTGATGGACATGCTGGCCTCGCGGTCGCCTCACCAGCTCTCCCGCTCGCCTGGGCTGCCTCCCACCCTTGCAGTGCGGCTGCTGCTGGACGCCCACATCACAGCAGGCACAGCGGGGGTTCCGGTGGCGGTGGACACACACCGAGCCCCCGTCACACTCTCCCGCATCGCAGCCCACAGCGTGCTGTTCAGGTGGGCGAGCGAGCGGGCAGGCGGGGGGGAGGGAGGGAGGCTGGAGGGTGGGGGACTGGGCACGAGGCCGTGCGTCGAGTTGCTTGCTGCGAGGCACGGCGAGGGCTTGATGACGTGTATGGCTCCCTCCTCCATTCCGCAGGCCGCACATCCTGGTGCGGGGCCTGATGGCGCATGGCGTGGCGGAGGCGCTGCTGAATGCGCCGCAGGTGGGGGCCTGGGGTGTGTCCTGTGTGCGTGTATTCGGAGCTGGGGAACGGGTTGATGCCCTGCTTTGCCGAGCTTGACACGCAAACAGGCGTGCGCCTGCTTCCACACATGCCCGCCTGCTGCGCTGCCCTTGCGCCCCCCATCTCTGCCACCCCCCCGCAGGTGCTGGGCTCGCTGTCGCTGCTGTTCAACCCCACCGGCCTGGTGCAGTCGGTGCGGGCGGGCGTGGGCGACCTCATCGGCCTGCCGCTGGCCGCGCTTCAGAACCAGTCGCTGGGGCAGGCAAGCGGGGGGTGGTGGGGCCGGGGGGGGCGTGTGGGGGGTATGGGGTGGGTGGCGTGCTGGTGGGTGGGTAGGTGGGTGGGTGGGAAGGCATGGCCGGGCGGCTTCCTGCTCGCGGCGTGCCTAATGCACTTTCCACCCCTTCCCTCTCGCCTGCCGGAGCCCCTCACCGCTGCCACCCCCATCCTCTCGCCCGCCCGCCCGTCCGCTGCCACCCCCTTCCTCTCACCCGCCCTGCACCTCGCCGCTGCCTCCCCCGCAGTTCATCAGCGGCGTGGGCCTGGGCTCCGTCTCACTGGTGAAGCACACCCTAGGTGAGCGCGGGCAGGCAGGCACACCAGCCCGGCCCGCTCCACGCATCGCCCGGCCCCGCAGCGGCCGCCGCAGAACCGGCTGCAGCCCTGCCCCCACACCCCTCCCGCGCGTGACGCCGTGCGGTGCTCGCCCCCCCGCCCCCTGCCCTTGCCCCTACCTGCGCATGTGGATGGCCCAGGCTGGACGCTGACCAGCATCAGCGGCTTCTCCCAGGCCTTCTCCCGGGCTGTCGACTCCGCGGTGGCCATCCGCAGCAGCGGCGGCGCCGCGCACCGCCCGCCGCCCTCCCACCTGGCCCACGGCTTCACCCAGGTCTGCTGCCCGCGCCCCCTGCCTGCCTGCCTGCCCGCCAGCCCGTGCCTGCCTGCCGCTCTGCCTCACCGCGAGCCTGCCTGCCTGCCTGCCTGCAGGGCCTGGCCGGGCTGGCGGAGGGGGTGACTGCTGGGATCACTGGGGTGGTGCGCGCCCCGATGCAAGGATACAGCAGCGGCAGCGGCGTGCTGGGGGGCATCGGACGCGGCCTTCTTGGGGTGGTGGGGCTGCCCGTCAGGTGGGCAGGGGGTGGTGTGTATGTGTGTGTGTGTGTGCGTGTGTGTGTGAGAGAGAGAAAGAGAGAGATGCAGCCGGGCAGTGCGTGGCGGCCCGTGCAAGGCCGGCGACGGTGCTGGCGGCTGCGCTTCACCAGGATTCGGATGCAGCAGATCTGCTTCTCCTAACCCTGAGTATCGCCTCCCTGCCCCGGCCTGGCGCCACCTTGCAGCGGCGCCCTGGAGTTGGTGGGCGCTGTGAGCGCTGGGCTGGCCAGCTCGGCGGGCGTGGTGCACGTGCCGCAGCTGCGCCGCGGCGGCCGCCTGCTGCTCACCGCGACCGCCGGCGGCGGCGACGTGGCTCCCGTGCTGGCGACTGCCCGCCTGGTGCAGCACCCCGCGCTGCTGGGCCACATGCTGCCGGCCGGCGGCGGCGGCTGCGGGGCCGCGGGGCTGGGCAGCGGCATGGGCGGCGGGCTGGGCCGCTACCTGGCGCACGCCGCTCTGGAGTCGGCCACGGTGCTGCAGGGCGTGCAGGGCCTGCACGCCGCACGCTTTGCCGCCGGCTTTGCTCTGGACCGGCCCGTGCTGCTGGTCACTGCAGCGGCGGCGGTGCTGTTCAGCTGCGGCGGGCTGGAGGCCGTACTGGTGCTGCCGCTGGGGGCCACAGGTGGGCCGCGGGGCGGTGCTGGGATCTGAGCATGTGAGCAGCGCGGGAGCCGGCTGGCCATGCACGGCGGGAGCTCACAAAAGCGCCGGCTGTAGCCTGCCGGAGGCGAGGCCGCGGTGCAGCATCCAGCCAGCATGGTTGTCGGGCCGTGCACCCCATTCGCCGCCTGCGTCACTCGCCCGCCCGCCTGCCTGCCTGCCCGCAGAGGCCGACGTGCGCTACTCCAGCCACGAGGTCAGCCTGTTCTCGAGGGAAGCAGCCCCGGTGGGGCGCCCCGACGCCGCCGCTCCCGCCGCCGTGCTGTGCCGCATGAGCCGCGAGGCCTGGCTGCGCCTGGCCCCGCTGCTGCGGAGGGCGGGCGGCGCGTAGGGCCGCACGACCACCACATGATATTGTTTCCCAGCTCTGAGTGTCCTAGCGCAGCCAGCCAGTCTCCCGCTGAGTGTTTTGTTGTAGCTTGCTGCCGCTTTCCTTAGCTCTAGTTCTTTCCTCTAGCTTCTGCCGCCCGCCGTGTGCGACATTCATCTTCATCTACCCATCCCTGTGCGCTTCTCTTCGGCATTGTTTCTTCCTGCTGTCCCAAGTGCTGCTACATGTGATCCGAATTGGCCGCGCCACCGCAGCAGCGGAGGCCACAGCGTAGTTGCCGCCGCCACTGGTGGCGAAGCGGGTGAAGCGAACGGCGCTCGGCCATGGTTGGGGCCAGATGCTGCGTTCCCCAACACATCCCTGGACCCATAGTCGTGAATGCAGAGATGCTGGATGGCACAGCAAGTTTCGGTGGTTGTGGGGCACACGCAGCTTCACCGCGCCTTGCGACGGCTTCTGGCCGCCTCCGCCCCCTACCCCTGCTCCTGCAGGAGCTGAGACGCGAGCTTGCACACCAATCTGGCCTCACTCTATGTGATTGCAGGCAGGAATTGCGGTCGCCCCCATTGGCTGGTCCACAGGAAGCGCGCCAACAACCTGTTGTTTTGCCTTCCACCTCCGCCAGGCGAACTGGCTCAAGGATTGTCGATCCATTTATACCGCACAGCAATCTGTTCTGATAATCCAGCAGGAAAACGCGTGCCGCTCTGTCCTGAACCGCGGCAGCGGTTGACACACAGAGGCAAGGTTGGCTCACCTACTCGTTCCTCGCGCTCGTGAAGCAACAAGCAGCAGCTTGGAGCAGGCAGCTCCGCACCAAGCGGAGGGCCCCAGGCAGAGCCACAGCCATGATTCCACCAGCGTTGGCCCCAGTGGCCTACGGCCTCATGAACATCGCGTCGGCGACAGGAATAGTGTTTGCAAACAAATCAGGCAAGCGCGGCCGCTGGAAGCAGCCAGCCAAGACACATCAAACTGCCGTCGGTGCGCGACGGCTGGGTGTGCGACCGCCCCCCTTGCCCCCTGCAGTATTTAGCTTGTTTCACTTCCATTACACATACTGCTTGACGTTTATACACACCCTGACGACGCTTGTGGGCATGCAAGGGTTCTTGCGGGTGAGCCGCGGTATGCGCGTTGCCGCACTTGCCCCCCGCTCTTTCGTCACCCACGCGCCTGGGCCCCGCTGCCGCAACTCGTGAACAGCAGGCTGCAGCTGGAGTTTTTTGTGCCTGCTGCTCTTGAGGCACTCGCTTGGCTGCCACCGCCCCGTGGCGCCGCGCAGCCGGCCTGCACTCACGCTCCCCGCCTTACCGCCGCGCCCCTGCCGCCAGATGCGCATGTTTGAGCCCAAGGTGGCTTCCAGGATGAAGCTGCTGCCGCTGGCGGCCGCCTACGTGGCCTACATCGTGCTGTGCAACCTGAACCTCAACATCAACCCAGTGGGCTTCTACCAAATCACCAAGATTGCGGGTGCGGCACGCGGGCCGGGGCCTGCTCGCCACGGCAGCAGCTGCTCGCCGTGCCCGTCCAGCAGCCCAGCCTGCCGCCCCGTGCTGGCGGCAGGCGCCCGCTGCTGACGCCGCCGCCCGGCCTCGGCAGCCTGCCGCCTCGCCCGGCCCACACCTTGCGCGCTGCTGGCCCTGCCGCGCTCCCCTGCAGTGGCCCCCGCCGTGCTCGCCATTGACTACCTGTACTACGGCAAGAAGGCCAGCCCGCGGGTGACCGCCAGCGTGCTGGTGGTGTGCCTGGGGGTGGGCTTGGCCACCATCACCGACCCGCAGCTCAGCAGCAACCTGTCGGGGCTGGCGGCCGGGTTTGGCAGCGTGGCCGCCACCGCGCTCTACCAGATCTGGGCGGGCAGTAAGCAGAAGGAGCTGGGCATGGGCAGCATGCAGCTACTGCACCAGTACGTGCCGCTGGCCGCGCTGCTGCTGGGCGCGCTGGTGAGTGGCCGGCGCGGCAGCTGGAGGGGTGGGTGGGTGGGGAGGCCCGGCCGGGGTGGGCGCGTGGCGCAGCCTGCCGGCACTTGCTGGCATGCCCCTTTTTGCACACGCGCCGGCGCCTGGGGCTCACCCCATGCCTCCCTGGCCCACAGGTGGCCATCCTGGAGCCGGTGGGCTGGTTCCAGCGCGGCCCCGACACCATTCTGGGCTACGCCTTCACGCCGGGCAGCGTGGCGGCCATCGCCGTCAGCAGCGTGCTGGGCCTGCTGGTCAACCTGTCCACCTTCCTGGTGAGAGGGGGAGCCCCCGGGGCGCGATGTTTTTGGGCGGCCTGCGGCGCTGTGCCTGTGCCTGCGCCGTGCACCAGGGGCCCTCGTGGCCTCCCCTTCCCCGCACGCCTTCCCGCAACACACTCACGCATGCCCCTGCTCGCACGCGCCCTGTAGCACAACATTGGCTCCCTCTCCCCCCCCCTGGTGTTACCCCAGGTGATTGGCGCCACCAGCAGCCTGACGTACAACGTGGTGGGGCACGTCAAGACGGTGCTCATCCTGTCTGGCGGCGTGCTGTTCTTTGGGGACACCATGCCGCCCAAGAAGATGGCGGGCATCATGGCGGCCATGGGGGGCATCATCTGGTGGGTGGTGGGGGCGGGTGGGGGTGGTGGGTGGGGGGCGGCAGGGCCTGGGGGCGGGTGGGTGGGAGTATGTGTGTGTGTGAGAGAGAGTATGGGGCACGCTTGGGATTCTTGGGGATTGGCAAATGTGGTAAGTCGCCGGCCTGGGGCCGTGGCCTGCGTTCTTCTATCTGACGCGTCTGTGGCCCACGTCGCCCCCTTGCCCCACGGTTCCTGCAGGTACAGCCAGATCAAGCTGAACGAGGCGCGGCAAGCGGCATCGGCCAAGCTCAACCTGCCGCAGGCGGTGTCTGTTGAGGGTGGGTTTCACAAGCTGTCGCCGGCGCCGGGAGGGTTGCGTGGCGAGTCCAGCGGCAGCCGTGGGCATGGCAAGCAGCATGCGCAGCCGGCCAAGGAGAGGGCCTCGCCTGTGCCTCCTCGCGGCCCCGACTCCTCCTCGTCCTCCTCCTCCGAGGAGGAGGAGGGTCGGTGCTGGTGACGGTGGGAGGCCGGCAGGCAGGGGCGTGTGCGCCAGCAGCAGCAGGCACAGCCACTGCTGGCGCAGCCGTGATGGCAGGGGCAGCTGGTGCCAGCGCTGATGCCCACCGCGACTGCTGGCTGGCTGCTGCAGCCACCGCCACCGGCGCCGTGGGCGGCCCCAAGATGTTCGTCATTAAGAGGGAGCCCAGCAACGGCGCGCTCAAGGCAGCAGCGTGACAGCTGCGCCAGCACGCTGAGCCACGCCCTGCACGTCCTGGCTGCCCTGCAGCAGACCGCAGCGCGAGGCCAGAGGCGTTCCCTCACAGCCCCCTCAGCTCCCGCTCGCCGCGCCAGCGCCGCTCGGCATCCAGCACCCCCACCCACGGCGCGCGGTAGCAGCAGCGGCGTGCACCTGCGGGACCGCCCACCCGCGGTCGCCCCGTGCCCAGCCAGTCCCCCGTCACCAGCCTTACGCTCCCGCACTGCTCTTGCTCCGCTCCGACACTGCTTCCCTGCTGACATCTCGAGGGTTTTTGGCACAACGCCGCACCTCAGCGCACCCTGCACTTCACTGACCTGCGCTTTGAACACGACCCCCCAACCCTGCGAAGCTGCCATTTCTTGAGCGTTTTTTCCTTTTGGCACACCAGCAGCAGGTAGGCACCTCGACAGCTAGCTTTCTTGTTCCGCGCAATCATACAATTTGGTAGGTAGCAACAATGTGAATTCCTTCAGGCCGCCTCAGCAGGACAGAGACACAGAGACTGAATGCTGGCCGGTAGTTAATGACTGCTGCAAACAGACGGAATCCCAAGAAGAGGCTGGATCGCGTGAAAGAAGAGGGAGGCAGGCCCTGCGGCGGTGGGCGGGGAGCCCAGGAGAAACTGCAGAGGGATTCGGAAGCGGTTCTGGGCAGGTCGGCGGGTTAAAAGGGACAAGGTAGCAGGGGGCAATGGTTCAAATAGTGGCTGCCGGGGTTGCAGGGTTCGGGCGAGATGTTTTGGAAGATGTTGAAAGATCAGTTGGCGGATAGGTATTGAAGGGAATGCCGGCGAGGTGGCTGGCCCGCAGCAGCAGCTGCTGCGCTGGCGCTCAAAGAATCAGAAGTGCTGGTGACACAAGCACCGGCCAGAGTGCGGTCGGGGTTTGAGAGGATGGATGGAAGAGATGGGAGGGGAAGGGAGTCAGGAGGCTAAATTCGTGGATGGATTGGTCAAGGGGATGGTCAAGTGGAAGCGGGGTGGAGGGGGCCCGGCTGCTGGCGTCAGGCGTCCCGCCCTGTGGGCAGCCTGCGCCAGCTGGCGCCCATCAGCAGTACACATAGTGCACCTTGGCGCCAGTGATGTCAAACCCTGCAGGGCAGGGCCGCCAGGCAGGGCGAGGACGGCGGAATGTGCGAGCTGGTTAGCTAGGGTTCATGGCCACGCCAAATTGCGCGGCGCCGGCCTCGAGCTGCCTTGCCCTGTCCACTCCGGCCAGCCCCATCCAGCCCCCAAGCGCCCCAGCCAGCCAGGCAGGGGTGAGGGAAGCTCTCACCGTTGAAGTTGACGGCGCCGGCGATGGTGTAGGCGCCAAAGCGCGGAAACAGCACCCAGTCGCCGTTGCGAAGGCGCGGCATGGGCACGTCGCGGCACACCGTGTCCAGGCCGTCGCAGGTGGGGCCAAACAGGGTGGAGGGGTGCAGGGCGGCGTCCTCGCCCGCAGCCACGGGCGGCAGCAGCGGCGAGCGCAGGCCCACGGGCGCCAGCTCAGCGTGGTCGTACACCAGGCTGCAGGGGGGTGGGCGGGTGCAGGGGGTGCAGGTGAGGCAGGTGAGCTACGGGTGGGTTGAGAGAGACCATGATGGCGCGCCCGCCCACCGATCAGCACCAACCCATGCCGACCCTGCACCGCCGAGTGCGCTGCTCCAGCTCGCTCCCTGCCAACATCCCGGCGGTCACACCACCACGCCCGCCACCACCACCACCCCCAAGCTCCACCACCACCCGCACCCACCAGTTCATGGAGCCGTAGAGGCCGTCTGTGATGTAGTAGTCGTAGGCCTGCTGCCCGCCCTCAACCGCCCGCCCCCGCCACCCGTTTATGTAGCAGGCGTAGGTGGCGCAGGCCTCCGCAAAGTAGCGCCCCGGCTCCGCAATCACGCGCAGCTCGCCTGCAGGGGGTGGCGAGGCGGGCGGGCAGCGGGCAGACGTGGGCGATCAGCCGCCAAACCGAGAATGCTGACATCCAATCCCCAAAGCTGCTGCGCCGCGGCCTGTGCCAGGCTGGCGCGGTGCCAGCCCCGGGCCGCAGCCCCAGCCCCAGCCGCAGCCCCAGGCCCCGGGCCGCACCGTCGTCAGGGAAGAGGCGGTCGAGAGCGACGTTGATGGCGTCTGGCACGCCTCCCAGGTCCACGTGCCCGTCGGGGCCCACCTCCCCGCCACAGAAGCCGCCCCCCAGGTCCAGCACGTCCATGCGGAAGCCCAGGGCAGCGCCCAGGTCAAACACGCGGCGCGCGGCCTCGATGGCGGCGCTGAACGCGGCCGGGTTCTTGGCGCCAGAGCCGACGTGGAAGGAGACGCCGCGCACGCGCAAGCCCAGCCCCGCGGCCGCCTCCAGCAGGCGCGGCACGCAGGCCAGCTCCGCGCCGTACTGCGCGGCAGGAGGAGGACGGGGAGGAGGCGGGGGCCTGGTGAGGCGCCTGCTGATGGCGTCCAACTGCCGTGGCGCGCCGTGTGCCCACACGCTGCGCACGCAACGCGCCTTCCAAGCCCTGCTGTAACAGCCACGCCCACCCACCCACGCGCGGGCAGCCCTGCCGCTCGCCCCTCCCACCCACCTTGTTGCCCAGCTGGCAGCGCGCGGCGGGGTCGTCGGCGCGGATGCGCAGCAGCAGGCCGCTGCCGGGGTGGTGCTGCGCCATCTGCGGGGAGGGTCAAGTGGGGGCCCCAGGGCCAGGCAGGGGCAGGGGTGCTCAACGCGCTTGCTCCTTCGCTTCAGCACAGCACTGCAAGCCAGCCAAGCCACTTCGCGACACCCCCGCAGCCAGCCACCCGCACATCCACCACCCACCTTGGCCAGCTCCGACTCTGAGTCAAAGGTGGTGAGGTCCACGCCGTGCGCCTGCGCCCACCGGATCTGCTTGGGCGGCTTGCAGGGGTGGGCGTACACCAGGCGGTCGGGGGCCACCCCCAGCGCCAGCACCCGCGCCAGCTCCGCCTCGCTGGCGCAGTCAAAGCCGGCGCCCAGCGAGGCCAGCACCGCCAGCAGGCCCTCGTCCGGGTTGCACTTGACGGCATAGCAGGGGTGCACGCGCGGCATCAGGCGCACCCACGCCGCGTGCAGCCGCTCCACCACCGCCAGGTTGTAGCTGCAGGGGGGCGGGGCGGGCCGCAGGGTCGGCAGCAGCAGGGTCGGCAGCAGGCAGCACAGCATCCGTCCACCCCCCGCTGCCGCGCTGCTGCTCATCGCCGCTGCTCAACACATTCCTGACCGGGCTTGCTCATCCACAAGCCCGAGGCACAGCCATTGCGGTGCCCCCAGCGCCGCAGCAGGCACTCACACATAGAAGTTGTCCTCTGTCTGCTCCGAGGCGATGACGCCGCGGCAGTAGCCCTCCACTACGCCCTCGCCCTGGCCCAGGAACACCGTGCCGCGCGCCTTGAGGGCCGACAGCAGCTCGGGGCGCAGCGCCGACTGGCAGGGGGAGCAGGGGGGGCACAGCAGGGTGTGGCGGGTTGGATCATGGGCAGGCGGGTGCGGGCGGGTGAGGTCAGGGGTGCGGCGAGCGCCTGCAGAGGAAACAGCAAGGTCGAGCAAGGGACCACAGGGGAGGGCGTTGAGCAGGGCAGGTCGGGGGCGCGCAGGCCAGCCCAGCCGACAGCCCCTGGCCCGGCCTGGGGCGTCGTCCTGAGTGCTCTGGATGCCGCCTGCTGCTGCTGCTGCATCCTCGCCAGCACCCACCATCCACCCACCCACCCAGATTCAGCAGCTGCTCACCCTCACGGCGGACGTGGGCTCTGAGCAGGACAGCTTGCGGAACTTGGGGGTGGGCTCATCCGAGATGGCCTCATCCGCCTCGTTGTCAGACTCGGCAGCCAGCGGCAGCACCAGCGGCGGCACCGCCACCGCCTCGCCGCTGCTGGCGGGCCCCGCCACTGCCGCCAGCTCCAGCATGTCCAGGCAGTCCTGGTTGGAGTTGCCAGAGGTGGTGGGCAGGGCCGGCTCGACCATTTCAGCGCACGGCTCGCACTCGGCGACCACTTCCCTACAGCAGGAGCGGGCGGCGGGTGGGCAGGTGGTCAGTGCCCTCCACAGCAATCTGGCAGTGCGGGTGTCCTGTTAGCTGCGTTTCGAGCTGCCTGGTCCCTGCCGCGTGGGGCCGGCTCCAAACAGACGCGGCAACGCCCGCCATTGTTCATTGACCAGTTCGGCGGCCGCCGGCCCTTCCCATCACGCGCTGTCAATCTGCGGAGGCTGTCCAAGGTCAGAGGTAGCGCTGTGCGGTGGCGGGAGACGCTACCCGCTCAGATCGGCTGTGCCTCCTGGAGTCCACCCCACTACACGCCCCACCGCGGCAACCCCCGGGGCAGCACCCACCTGTCACAGAGGGCCAGGGAGTTCAGCATCGTGCTGCTGCCGGAAGCGAGAGTGGCCAGCCGCATGCTCTCGACGGCTTTGCGCACAGAGGGCTTAGCGCCCTTTGGTGGTCTGCCCTTCAGCAAGTTTGTGTGAAAGATAGAAGAGAATGGAATGAAATGCGGAGGAGGGCGCTGCTCATGGGCTTGCCGCGTCCGGGCCTCTGGCGGCTGCCAGCCGTCACCTCGGGAACTAATCCAGAGCGCCCCTCGATCATTCCTTGTCGGCCCACGCGCGGCGGTGGGCCCCCGACGGCGGCCTTGGGTCCCGCAGGTGGTGCCAGGTGCCGCACCCTGGCGCCAGCCCGCCCACTGCCATGGCTGGCAGCATTACACACCCAGCTCATTTCCGGCTGGGGATGGTCAGCGCCCCGCTGCCCAGTAGGAGGTTTCGGGTGGTGAAGCGCAGGCCATACACGGGCGTCAGCTTGGTCCTCCACGTCACCACCGGCGCATACGGCTCGCTGCCACCGCCGCCGCCCTCCTGCTGGCTGCCTGCCGCCGCTCCCTGCTGCTCCGCTGTACCGCCGCCCGCCGCCGCCGCTGCTGCTGCTGCCCCTCGTGCCGCGCCTGCCGCCGGTCTGCCAGCCGCTGCGGCCCCTACCGTCGCCGCCGCAGGCTTGGCATTCCACAAGCGAACTGTGTTGTCCGCGCCGCCCGAGGCCAGCAGCGCGCCCTCGCCCTGGCTGTACGCCAGGCTCCACACCGGGCCGCGGTGCTCGTGCGCGGTGGTCAGCCGCTTGGCGGTGGCCAGGTCCCAGACGATGAGCGTGCCGCTGGCGTCGGCGGTGGCAAGGGTGGTGCCGTCTGGGGAGAAGGCCAGGGCGCTGATCTGCACATGGGCGGCGGCACGGGCGCGGACAGGCAGCAACAGCAGCTGAGGCGAGATGTGCATGGTGGCACAATGGATGGTGGTGGGGCCCGGGGGCTGCAGGGAGGGAGGCATGGAGCACCCTGCGGGCAGCGGCAGCGACTGGCCCAGCCAGCCAGCGCCCACCTTGTCCTTGTGCCCCACAAGCAGCCGGCAGCACTGCCCCGTGCGCACGTCCCACAGCCGCACTGCAGGACAGAAGGGGGCGCGGGAAGCAGCAGCGGCAGTGGATGGCTGGCATGGAGAGTGGCAGGAAGCACTAAGTGCTGGGAACAGTTTGGAAGCAGAGGGCTGCCGTGACAGCGAGCCAGCTTGCACACATCTCCCCCGGGGCCTCACCTGTCCTATCGGCGGAGCCGGTGGCGATGTAGTGGCAGTTGGGGTGCCACCGCACCACATCCACATCCGAGGTGTGGCCTGCAGCACACACGTGCGCAGCATAGCGCGGCACGGCGCACCGTCAGCAGCCGGGCTGGCCTGGCGTGCAGGCGCAGAAGCACACAGCTCAGCCGTGGCGCAGCTCAGGCGCGGGCCGGGCGTGTGCGGCGCCCCACCTACAAACAGGCGCAGCGGCTGCACGCGGTCGGTGCTCCACAGGCGCGCGGTGCGGTCGGCGCCGCAGCTGGCAAAGTAGAAGGGGCTGAAGTATGGGCAGGTGGCCACATCCCACACTGCAGGTCGAGAGGGGGCAGGGGCAGCTGGCTTGTTGACAGCAGGGGCAAGGGGGATGCAATGGGCATGCAGGAGAGGCAAGCAAAAGATAGCTGCAGGCTGAAGCAATGGTCATGCCACTGCTGCCATGCGTTGCGCAAGTTCCAGGGTCGCCACGGCGGGCGGGCAGCTACCTGGCAGCTGGTGCCCCTTGTACACCGCCAGGTTGGCCCGCACCTCCATGCTCCACAGCCTGTGGCAGCCACGCGCAGCACATGGCAGGAATTCAAGTCGACGATGCTTGCAGTAGGCAGCCAGCACGAAGAGGCAAGGAAGCGCCTAGCGAGCACCACCCGTGCAACTTGGGCTATCCACACCACGCACCCACCACACCACCACACCACCACCCACCACCATCACGCACACACTGTCACCACCCCGCCACCACAAACAGCATCCAAACATAAGCGCGCACCTCACGCTGCCATCTCCCGAGGCGCTGAACAGCAGCTGGTTGTCTGGCGAGAAGTCCAGGCCAAACACGGGCCCCGAGTGGCCCGCAAAGTAGGTCACCCAGTCTGCGGGCGCGGCGCCGGCCGCCGCGCCGCTGGCCCTCGCTTGCAGGTCGTACAGGCGCACAGAGGAGTCGGCAAAGCCGCCTGCGGGCGTGGCGGCGGGATGGCTTGGATCAGGTCCGCCGGCGGCGTGGCCAGCAAGAAGTGTTTGGGGGGCAGCACGATTGAAAAGAGCGCATTCCGGCGCCTGGGCTGTGAGCAGCACCCAGCACAAGCACAAGCGCGACAGGCGGGAGAGCAGATGGACGGTGGGCCGGCGGGCTGGGGCGGCCCGCTCACCTGCCACCGCGGCAGCATCGCTGGAGAAGGCCACGCAGTTGAGCGACTGGTGGGTGTTGAAGAAGGTGAAGAAGCAGCAGGAAGGCAGTGAGTCGGCTGCAGCAGCAAAGCAGCATGTGGGGAGGAGGTTAGAAGGCGGGGAGGACGTCGGCATTGGAAGGGTTTAGGATGGCCAGGGTTGGAGCGCCAGCGGCCAAGGCAATCGGAGAGCAAGCCAGGGTCCACGCTGGGTCTAGGGTTTCAGGCAGCAAGAGGAGGAGCAGGCCCGCCGCCAGCCGGCCGGCAGCCGCCCGCGCGGCGCTCACCTGACACCTGCTGCCTCAGCTGCAGCTCCTGCATCAGCATGCCCTCCTGCTCGTCGCTGATGGGCGGCAGCGGGAACTTGGGGGCCACACGGTCCAGCCCGATGTTCTCCCGCTTGCTGCGAGCCTCCGCTGCCGCCCTCTGATCGGGCAGGGGCAGGCGGGGGAGTGGGGCCGCAGTGGTGCGTGCAGTGAGGAGGGGCGGCAGTCAGGCCCGGGCAGGCGCAGGCTTGGCACAGCGCGCCACAAGCGCAGCACGCGAGCCAGCCACAGGCACGCAGCCCACAGGCATGCGTGGGCACCTGCAGGGCGATGCGTTTCTTCTTGGTCAGCGCCTCTGCCTCCGCCTGCTTCTGCGCCTCATCCTCCGCCTTCTCCGCCTGCTGCTGGGCCCACTTGTCCTCCACGCTGCCCTGCAGCACAGCGCCAGCAGCAGCAGCAGCAGTGGAACCAGCGCCAGGTCAACGGCGGGCAAACCCAAATGGCTGGGCTGGACGCAGCATCAGCCTCTTCCTCTGCTTGTCTGCCCTGCTGCAGGCCCATGCCAGCACTGGCAGCAGCAGCCCGGAACAGGCAGGCGCGTGCCTGCAGCAGCCGCAGCTGCAGCGGGAACTGGTTGGTGGCCACCACGTCCGCCTGCATGGCGCCTGCCGTCAAATCCTCCTCCACACCCGCCAGGTCAGCCAGCGTGGCGGGTCGCCCCTCAACCACCTGCGCGGGGCCACCGTGCGTACGCATGTGAGTGTGCGTGTGTGTGCGCGCGCGCATGTGGTGGGAGAGCGGCGGAGCGGCCGCATGGCAGGGCAGGGATGCTCAGGTGCAGTACCAAGAGCAAGAGCAGGCGCGGAAAGGCGGCGAGGGTGCTTCCCGCAGCGGCGGGCTCCCCAGCAAGCATGCGTGCCTCAAACTTGATGTGCTCATTCACGATGCCCAGCATGACGAGCTGCTTGGGACCCTGCAGGCGCAGTGGAGGGCGAGGGGCGCGCATGTGGCGCATGTGAGCAGGCGCGGCGGGAGCGCAGGGCAGCGAGTGGCTGGCGGCGAGCGGCGAGTGGCGCCGCAGCGGGCGCGAGGCGAGGGCAGGGCGCGTGGCATGGAAGGGCAGTCGCAGGCGAAGGGCAGGGGCAAGGCCAAGGGCGAGGGGCGAACAGGGCACACAGGGGCGGGCTCCACCTGCAGGAACTGCGTGAGCAGGTCGTAGGAGGCGCGGCAGAGGCGGATGGAGAGGCGGCGGGAGCGCAGCGCGCTGGCGGTGCGGCTCGCGGCGGCCGCCTCGGCCGACGAGATGCTGGCCAGGTCTTGGAGCTCCTGGAGGGCAGTGGGGGGGGGGCAGGGCTGGGGAGCGTGGGCAAGGGGATGTGCACACGAGGGCTGCATGTGTGGTTGGGTGAGGTGGTGTGTGGCTGGGGTGGTGAGAGGGGCGCAGGTGGGCAGGCAAGGAGCTGGGAGCAGCGCACGGGTGCGGGCAGAGCATCAGACCACGGCGGGCAGGTGGCGTGAGGTGTGCCCGCTGCCAGAGGCTGTGGCAGCAGGCGGCCCCACGTGCCCAGGCGCACCTGCATGCGCAGGTTGGACCCGCCCACAGCGGCGTCCAGGAAGCGCTGCCGGTGTGCCCCCATCAGCTGCTGCGCCTCGGGCATGGCCCCAATGTTAATCAGGTTGAGGTACGTGTGGGCAAAGGCAGGGAACAGCACCCGAGACAGCTCCGGCTGCAAGGGGAGGAAAGGGAAGCACGAGGAGGGCAGTGGCAGGCGGCGCGTTGGGGGAGGGCACACCGGCAGGCACGCCGCGCCGGCTGGTCCGGCAACGGCAGTGCCGTGGCGGCCTAGCCAGCAGGCCAGCACACGCCCAGAGCAGCCGCCGCGGGCTGCCCAGCGATGCTGCATTCCTGCCGCTGCCACCCCCCAGCAGCAGCACCCACATTGTAGATGTCCAGGGAGTTGTCCACCCAGGCCGCCAGCCGGTCAAAGGCCTGCACCAGCTCTGCTGGATCGCCCTCCCCCGCCGTGGCAAACAGCAGCCGCTCCTCCACGCCCTCGCCACCCCACCCCAGCCAGCTCTGCACCAGCAGCTCGCCCGCTGGTATCGACTCCTTCATCTCCAGCTCCAGCACCTTCTCTGCTTCCTTGAAGCTGCACCAGAGGAGGGCGGCAAACCGAGGGGCGGCGGGCTGTATGGCAGCGGCGGTAAGCGGAGAGCGGCAGCCAGTGCAGGCCGCGCGATGGCGCTCCGCTCCTTTGGCATCGCCCATCGGCTGCTCACTTGCGCTTTCTCAGGTACTCAAGGACGAGCCTGTCGATATCCGTCTTGCGCAGCGGCCCTTCCATCGCAGCAGGGCTTGTTGTGCGGCGCACTAGCTTATGGGCGACCTCCCGATCATTCCTGGTGCTGATGGGCAGGTTGGATTGAGACAGGCTTGGCACCGAGGCTCACTGTGCGGGGCGACGGCGCCCGGCACTCAAACAGAAGGGTTGCAAGACGTGCTGGAGGTGCAGATGGTGAAAGTGGGGCGATCGCGCCCATGCCGCAATGTCAAGGGGGGTGGGGCCGTGGGGGGCATCCATCGCCACGTCGCCGCAGGCGCTAGTAGAGAGGCAGGGTTTGGACTCGACATTAAATACAAAGCATGTCACAAAATGCTGAAGGTACCGGGAGTCAACAATAACAAAAGGAGTTTGTAGGAGAACGTGTGGGAGCACAACCAGTGGGCCGGGGATCCGGCACAAGCCAGCAGCGCTGTGCAGAGGACGGAGCATGGGTAACAGGATGGTGGAGAACGTAACAGAGGCCAATATGTCACTGAGTAGGGGTCACACAATAATAGCTCATCACGCCACAGCGATTGAGGAGGCCGCCAGGAGGTGTCCCGGGTCCTTTGCGGCGCCCAGCCAGTGCTGCTCCTGCTGGCCCTCCAGCAGGCAGCACAGCTGTGTGGGATCAGGGATGTACGGCGAGCAGCCCAGCAGCAGGCGGCTGGACTGGAGTGGTGTGAGCACCTGCGGCAGCGCGGCATGCATGGGTGGTTGCGCCGAGTGGCCATACATGGCAGAGTGATGCCGTTCCATCCAGACAGGGCAGCCCTGAGCATATGGTGCGCCACAACGACGGCACACGCAAGCTGGGCGCACCTGGAACAGAGCCAGGCTGAGGTGCATGCAGGATGCTGCCTCCTGGTGCGGCAGAGTTGCCAGGCTGTCGGCGGCGTCGAATGTCGTCAGGTAGTCCTGAGGGGAGAGGATGCAGCACGAGCAGCAAGGGGGAAGGGCAGGGTGAGGGGAAGTGCACCAGCCACCCAGCCCACCCAGAGTTGCAGCCACCACGGCAGAATGCGTAAAGCAGTGTTGTGAGTAACCTGCATGACTGCGGACAGGGGTGGCTCCGCTCGCGCGGCCGCCTGCCCACCCTGCTGGGCTCCCTGCCCCAGCGCCTGCCGCCGTCCCGCCACCTCCTGCATGCAGCCAATCCTCTGGCGGGCGCGCTGCCGCACAGCCGCCATGCGATGCTGGTACTGCTGCCAGATCTGCAGAATGCTGCGGCGCTGGTGCGTGGTGAGGGCCAGCTGCTCAACCACTGGCGGCAGCAGGTGGTGCACAGCGCACCCTGCTGTGCCGCCACCCAGCACGTGCTGCTGCCGCGGAGCCGGCAGCAGGTGGCGGCGCATGAGGTCGCACAGCAAGCCAGGGCGGTGCTCGGCCAGCACGGCGGCAGATTTCTCCTGCACCTCGGCGATGGGAGCGGCGGCACGCTCGCTGAGCGAATGTCCGAGGGGAGGGGCGGCCGCATTTGTGGAGGGCTCCAGCGGTCCAGCGACGGCCAGCGTGCAAAAACAAGCAGGCATGGGCAGCAGTGGCAGCAGTCGACAAGCGCAGCACCAGCAGCAACACACCCTCAGTGTCCACAGGAGCCGCAGCCGGCGCTCCACCCGTCGCCGCCCTGCAGGCGGGCTGACCTCCCACTGCAAGCGGGCAGGCAGACAGGTTGAGGCAGAGAGTGTTCAGCAGGGCTCCCGGCCAGCAAAGGCTGCAGCTGGGACGGAAGAGACATCCCCCCTGAGCCCGCTGACCGTCACACCGACTCACCTCGTCGACCGAGTTCCCCAGCAGTGTGCGGAAGCCCTTGTCACAAGTCGCGAAACGAGCAGGTGTGGTGCCCTCCACCATCTCCCTGCACAAGCATCCAACGCCACGTCAGCGCGCTGGCTAGCGGGTGGCCGGCGTGGAAGCCTCATGCGCAGGCGCGTTGTGTGGCGACTGCACACGATGGCCCACCTGAGCTGGTCGTCGTCCGGGACCAGCAGCCTCTTCCACAAGCCTTCTGGCAGGCTGGACAGCAGCCTGTGGGCCAGGCGGCTGCGCAGGCTGCCAGCGCCAGCTTCAGCATGCCTGCCCTCGCTGCTGCCAGCGCCAGGCGCGCCGCTCCGGCCGCATGCCACCTCCTGCGCTTCCGTGGCCGCGTCCATAAGTTCTGCCACGCATGCGGGCGAGATGGCGCCGCCGGCAACCTCCATCGCCACTTGGGGCATCCAGCTGGTCTCCACGTCGTCGGCAGCTGCTGTGGCGCTGCCGCCGGAGCCGCCGCCGGCGGGGCAGGCCGCTGCTTCAGAGCGCCGCATTGCGCCAGCCATGGTTTCCCTGCACTCCTGCAGCTGCAGCAGCGTCTGCTGCCGCTGCTTCAGCTCGGCCTGCTCGCGCCGCGCTGCGGCCACAGCGGCGGCCGCCGCCTCCAGCTCCGCCGCCTGACGTCCCTTGCGCTCCTTGAAGCGCAGCCGGTACTGGCGCTGCTGCTCCGCTTTGCTGGCGCGGGCCTGCGGGGTGTTGTAGCGCCCGGTGCTGGCCGACTTGCCGCAGGTCGCCCTGGCACGGCTGCGGGCGCCGCTGTCGACGGCGATGGCCGTTGCGTCGCAGCTGTTGCTGGCGCGACTGCCGCTGCCGCTGCCGCTGCCGGCCGCCACTGGTGGGGCATCAGGCTGGAGCGACGCCAGGGCGCTCGCCCAGAATGAGCTGGGCAGGGGGTCCAAGCTCTCCAGCAGCTCCAGGTCTGCGTCCAGCTGTGTGGCTGGTGGGGCGCAGGCGGTGGCTGGGGATTCGCAGGCCGTGGCGCCAGCAGCGGCGCTGGCCCAGCCGCTGTCCGAGCCTGGCTGCACTGTAAAGTGCGGCACACCCCAGGGCAGCACCTCCGGTTGCAGAGACTCGCCGGCCGCCCATGCCGCTGCCATGGCAGCAGAGTGCTGGGTGGCGCTACTCTGGATCTGTGCAGGATATACCCCTGGACTTCTGCAGCTGCCCCGCAAAGACGCTGAGGGTGCCGTGGGGGCAAGAGGAGCCTCTTGCACCCAGCGCCTGACCGGAGGACCGCTGCGCAGGCGAGAGTCAGCGCCGGGGATTTCTGTGGCCCTAGCAAAGGCTGTTCAAGTCGCGGGTGCTGTAAGTATCCTGCCACGTGGATGACCCGCGGCTGCCAGCCGCTGCAGAATGATGCCTGCTATCGACATCGGGACTGTAACCTGCACGCTGTTATGACCGGGGGCTCCAATCAATGGCCCTGGGACGAACCTGGGGACGAACGTTCGCCACAGCATGCTCAGCATTGATGTTCAGCCCTTACGTTCCCACAATGCGCGCGGCCCGATCCGGGATACATAAACTGCTGCGTTCATCCCTGCCCCCTGTCAACCCCTCCGCCGGGCGTTGGTGTCTCCCGTCCAACACCAAGATCGCGATGGTGGCAGGTCTGTCACCTTGACGGCCACAGGTCCCCGCGCCTGTGTAATGTGGGGCTGCTGGCTCATCGACATGGAATCCAAAGTGTGCCCTCCCCGCCGCAGGCAGTATGCATCGCGGAAGGGTCACACCTCTCTCCTGCGTTCTCCTGGCCGCCCTGATGGGCTCTGCTCTCGGCGGGTTTGACACCAAGTGTTCTTACAGCGCAGGCGAGCCGGGAGGGGGCGACCCGTGAAACTAAAGAGAGGGCGCCTGCCGCCGCCCCCGCCCCTGCCGTCTCCACCCCCACCACACCCTCTGCCATCCTCCTGCCGCCCTCCTTCTGCAGAGTGGGTCAACAACGACAAGAAGATCGAGGGGACGCTGTCCCCGCTGTCTGGCTGCCAGGCGAGCAAGCTTACGTTCACCACCACCAACGACATCCTCATCGGCGGGAACGGTGAGCGCCGCGTGCGCTAGACCGCCGGCGGCTGCCCACCTGATTCGTCCTAAACGCCAGGCTTTCTGTCCGTGATGCCGCTCACTTGCGCACCTGCCACCCTCACCCGTGATCACATGATGCGCTGCAGGGAATGTTGATGTCATTGGGATCCCTGCCGGCTCGGGTGGAGATGGATGCGAGTACAACGACGAGTGTATGGAGTGGTGAGAGGAAGATGTCCGCCTGCCGAGGCTTCTCGTGCCGCTACCTTCCTTTTCTGCCACTGACCAATGAATGTTTGATCAGTGGTCCTGCATCACAAATCGGAAATTGGAAAAAAAATGGAAACAAAAAAATGGAAACAAAAGAAACTTGCCACCCGCAGGTGCCAGGCGCTGTGCTGCATGGCGCCGGGCTGCAAGTATGCGTCGGTAAGGAAGGACACGAAGACGGAGGACTACGTGTTTTACAAGGAAGAGGTCAAATACTTCTACTGCAGGTGAGTGGGCTTCGCCTGCGTGTGCGCGTGCGCTGGCGGGGTGACTGCAACACATTTGGCGCGCCCAGCGGCGCATCGTGTGCTCGCCGAGCTCCATACCCCCCCGGCAACTCGCACGATCCCTGCGCCCATGCCTCCTCCTCCTCCCAGGATGCACTCCACAGGAAGCCTCAAGAACAGCGACACGCAGAGCACCTGCACCAACACTGGGGCACGGTGCGTCTGGGGCCATGAGGGGCCAGCTTGGCAGTCATTGCAGCCTGCAGCATACCTGCCTCTCGAGGCCGCCGATGCCACACTGGAGCCCATCCCAAGTTTCAATGTACACCTGGACCCCTGCCCCTGCCACACTCCTGCAGCGCCCTTGCCATGCACCGTCTGCAGCACCTCCACCAGCACCCCCACCCCTCGCCCTGCCTGCAGCACCTACTGCGATGACCTGGCCTATGCCGCCTTCCGCATGAACTCAACAACCTATCAGCAAATGGTCGGCGCAGGCGCCTGTGAGTCCAGCTGCAGCATGCCCCTGCGTGGTGCTTGCCATGCCCCCTGCGTGGACACCCCGCCCAACGTGCACTGGCTGCATGCCGCCGCCTGGCAGGCCGCTCCCTGACCATCCCGCTGCTGCCTGCCCTTGGGTGGTGCAGACGACGTCTGCCCCCCCACGAGGCGCCGCCTCCAGGCATCCATGAAGAAGGCTCCCACCAAGGCCGGCATCGATGCCGCCATCCGGGCCGCCTTCAAGCCATTTGCCCTGCTGAAGTACAGGGTGCGTGCGGCACAGCGGCTGGACGGGCTGGCTGTCATCCGGCGCTGGGAGTGCTGTGCACACATCCGGGGCTGCCTGTGGGGCCTTGCCTGCCCTCACCTGTCGCCTCCTCGCCCTACCCCTGCCTGCAGGCCTCCCAGCTGATGAAGAAGGGCCTGCTGAGGCGCAAGATCCAGAACAGTGGCGTCTGCCAGTATGCCTACCCCCGCCAGGTGGTGGTGCTCGGCAGCAAGCCCTAGGCGTGCCGCCTCGCCGTCCAGAATTTCAGGCTTACAACTTTCCCCATGCTTGCATGGGGCAAGACCTCTCACGCAAGCTATCCACTTGGCTTACTCTTTCTCCGCCACCCAACCCAGAGCACCATCCCAGGTCTGCACGGCACGGTCTCCTGCCGCCATGTCAACGCGACACCCCCGCAATGGCCCATGCCACGGCCGTCTGCTACCAAGAGTCGAGCTAACAAAGGTTGTACTCATCTTTTGTTTACTGTTCAAGCAAATTTTGAATACCTGCCAGTATAATAACATGCACTGATGTGCAGCAGGGGTGCAAAACTGCGACTGAAAAACTGTAAACAAATCGGGAATGAAAGAATGAATGTCAAGTGCCCGTCCATGGTCCTGATGCCCTCCAGGGATCGTAGCTCAGGCCACAGGGTCAACATCAAACTCCAGCGGGCTCTTGGGAGGGTTCACCCAGTTGCCCTCCTCGTCCATTGGCAGTGGCGGGTTCAGCCAGAAAGAGCCTGCAGTAGCAGCCACGGCACAGCTTCAGGCGGGGCAGGTGGCGGACGGCTGAGGCACGCAGACGCGCTGGCGAGGCAGGCACGAGCAGGGGCGGGGCACGAGCAGGGCACACTAAAGAGAAAGAAAAAAAAGAAGAGAGGGAAAAACAAGAGAAAAGAAGAGAGAAAAAACGAGAAACAACTAACCTGGCGTGGTCAGATCCGAGAGGCTGAACCGCTCCTCGCCCGCCTCCCCGATGCAATCAAACACGGCATCCGCAATCTTGAAATCTTCTCCTTTGGTGTAGAAGCTCTCGGTCACCACGCAGCTGCAGGGAGCGGGGAGGGGCCGGTGGCGAGGCATGGTGGGGCAGGGGCAGGGCCGCCGCGTGGCGTGCGGTGTGTCAAGGGCAGTCGGGGGCAGCGCTCACCGCATGCCCGCCGCCTTGGCGGCCGCCAGCCCGATGCGGCTGTCCTCCACCACCACACACCGCGCCGGCTCCACGCCCAGCTCCTGCAACAGGCAGGGTCCCGTCCCGACACACGCAGCTGCGCGTCAATGCCAGGGTGGGCCGGTGGCTGCCAGCTGCCCTGGCCCCGCCACATCCCACAGCCCGGTGCATGCCTGATGCGCGTGAGAAGAGCATCCCCCAGAACCACCCCTCACCTACACACCCACATCGCCACCACCACCACGCCCACACACGCAGCAGCAGGCAGCAGCAGCGCCCGCCACGACATGCTACTCACGCACACAAACGCAGCACCAGCACCACCGCACGGCAACATACATGCCAGACCACGCACACGCACGCCCGCGCGCGCGCAGGCGCACTCACCTGCGCCGCCAGGTTGTAGATGTCGGGCGCGGGCTTCTTCTTGGGCACGCAGTCGCCTGCAAAGACGCGCATGGCGGCCGCCGCCCGTTCCCCCAGCAGCACCCGCACAATGTTGGACACGGCGCGCTCGTTGGATGTGGAGCAGACCGCCACCTTGACGCCGCTGTCCAGCGCCTCGTCTGCGCAGGAGGCGACAGGTGCGGTGCTGTGCGCGGGTGAGGGGGCGCATACACGCAGTGCCAAGATGGCGCCGCGCTCAGCAGCGCCGCAGGCTGTTGCGCGTGGGCTGCGCCGGCGTCGTGAACGGCAGGGAGTGCAGCATGCACCAGAGGGGAGCAGCTGGAAGTGGCCGCGGCCAGAGCAGATCGGGTGGAGGGGATATAAGCATTGTTGTCGCGGCTGCTGCTGCTGGTGCTGGCGATGCTGAGATGCAGCGGCTCACTTATGAGGCGCTTGACGCCTGGGCGCACGGGCAGGCTGCCCGTCTCTATCAAGGTGTTGAAAATGTCTGTCTTGAGCTCATGCAGCTGCTTGAGGAAGGCCTTGCGCTCGGCAGGGTCTGCGGCAGGGGCACGGCACAGGCAAGGCCGCTGTTGGCCGGCACGCGGCAGAGGCAGTGCCAGGCAGCGAGAGGATGCAGGGATGCACCGCTGCCTTCGCAGAGGGGCCGTTGCTGTCAGCCGCCTGTCAGCCAGGCCTGCCTGCACCCACGCCACCCACGCCCACCCACCCGTCACGCTGACCCAGGGCTCCCGCTCCGCGCAGCTGCTGAAGTAATGGTCCATACGCTCCTTGCCGCCCCCAATCTCCAGCAGCACGCCGTACTGCTCCAGGCTCCAGGTGTGGTCCAGCCCCTTCCGCTTGAACGCCTCGTTGAAAGCCACGCGGTGTCCCTCCGCCTCTGTGTCCACCAGCACCTGCGGCACAAGAACATCGGCAGCGTTTGTTGGGGACCGAGCGAAACGGTGGGACTGATGTGCACCTGCCGCCCACAAATACCCACTCACGCCGTCGCAATCGAAGAGCAGGGCCTCGGGCCAGTCGATGTTGCGCAGGGCCTGCACCCACACGGCGCCCCTGGGCCCCCTTGCAGCGCTTGCCGCTGCTGCCGCCCGCTGGCGGCGCCGCACCGCCAACGCCAGCTGCTGCCCCGCTGCG